GAATAATATTATACATTGCTAACTGCACGGAATGAATATTTTTTTGGACTTTACTATAAAATTATAATTTAAAAGACAGTTGAACTTATGTTTGACTGCCTCGTTGATATAGTGGTTGTAGAAAGCGACACACAAAGTTGGGGTTCAATTCCCACAAAAAATAGGTACACATATTATTATTACTGAAATACTACATAACTTATATATAAATATATATCTATAATAAAATATGGTTTGGCTTTACTATAACGATGGTTTTTTGCATGTTTCTTTTGCTTTGGTTTTAGACTGCTATAAATTATATTGAGGGAAAATTATGGTATATTTAGTTTAGGAACAATCAGACAAAATAGACTCAAAGATGCTGCTACTAACCTGCTAACTGAAAAGGCTTTGAAAAAGAAAGAAAGAGGTTCTTTCTGTCAGGTTGTTTGTTATAAAAATAAACTTAGTATTGTCAAGTGGGTAGATAATAAACAGGTCACATTGGTGAGTGCTTATGATGATAGGTACATACCCTGTCGAAAATATAAAACGATTCGGCAAAGAAGCAAAATCTCGTGTTGATGTAAAATGTTCTATAATTGTTAAAGACTATAATCGTCACATTAGAGGTGTTGATTTGGCAGACATGCTGATTGCATTATATTGCACTGGAATAAGATGGCACAGGTGGTATATGAAAATTTTCTCGCAGCTTTTGGATATAGGCATCAACAACTTGGCTTTACGTCGCAGACATAACAAAATGATAAACACCACTAGAAAGCAGGATCGCCTAGAAGATTTTAGGTATGAAATCTACAGCGGCCTACCGAAACGAGGTCGAAACGTTTCAGTGAAAAATTTAGACGCAATACCGGACAAAGCAAATATAAAAAGAGCTATCTGAACAAACATGCGATGATGTCCGGTATGACAAATATGACCATTGGCCGCAAATAACCGGATATGAGAGGTGCAAGTACTGCAAAGTTGGCCAGGCAACTACGATGTGCACAAAATGTAAGGTTCATCTTTGTTATGTGAAGAATCGAAACTGTTTTATGGAGTACCACTGCAAGCAATAGGGTCTCTGAATTATTAAATTACGATTATTTTGTTGTTCAAGAAAGATTAATTTTATTAAACATTTTACTTCCACCAAGACAGTTATTTTTATTTAAAATCATGTTATTTACAATAATCGTTTGGTATATGTTAAAAACTACTAGTAACATTTCAACTCTCCCTAAACATAGCAATGTATAGCATAATATACATTCCTGAAAATGCGATAATCACTGTACGTGTAGCAATGTATAGAATAGTATACATCTTGTTTTTCCAAAATTTTTATTAGCCAGACTTTAACATTATTGTAGTTTTAGAAGGGATCCTTATTTTTTATTGCAATTAAAATAGCCTATCAGTGATAATGTAGCATTCAAATGGTGAAATAATTTTTAAAATCGGTCCAGTACTTTTTGAGCCAATTCGTTACAAACATACAAATCTTTCCTCTTTATAATATTAGTATAGATTATCAACTAATATCTATTACGAATGACGAAGCGAGAATTTCACATGTCATCGTTATTGAGTAATTTTAATTTAATGGCATCATTAGTATTGTGTTGAAATATTTTAGGGATGGATTAATTTAGTTTTGTATTTGACTTGAATTATAATGTACTATGATATTGACATTGACAATGTCTGGAGATATTTTCGTATTCGTATTTAATTTTAGCTAATTATAAATGGTAATGGTATTTAAATTTCAGTTTTTCATTATGTTTACTAAACTCAAACTCAAAATATCTTGATTAATATAGGTAAACAAGTACACTTATGAACGTCAAAAAAAAAGTTAAATTATTTGTAAATTTACATTTTGTACTACCAGTTCGCAAGTCAAGGGCGTAGGGCGGGAAAGAAGAACTGGAGCAAATCAATCCCAAGGATTAGGATCACTTAAGTATTCGTAAATTTATAAAAAGTTTTATTGATTAATTTACGTTTAACGAGTGCTTTGAATTTATTTAGTTATAATTCTACTAGTGATTACTTCTTAAAACCTATCTTAGTTTCTTAAGTGAACAATTCAATTTTTTAATATTAAAAATTATCTATATAGCCTAGCGATATTAGAAAGGCTCAACTGGTGAACATCACAAAAAAAGGTTGGAAAAACACTGGTACCTTCATACTTGGCCTAGAACATTAATATCGCGATAACAAGACACAATGGTTCATTGATAAAACAATAGTTGTGTACTCAAGACAGTCAGATAACCTCTTGAGAGTCTTGATAGCCGATTGATTAGATTCTTCTGTGGGCAGTCTCTTTTGGCCATCAAAACGTAACGTCACTTGTCACGCTATAAAGTTTTTTTTTAATTCACAAAAGCTTGTCAAATGTCAATACTTTGCACATTCATACAATGGTACACAGAACAAAATTACAAGTTATAATGAGAGAAGCGCTTATGAAGAAGAAAAAAGAAGAGTAAAGTTAAAAACTGGAGTAGTGTTGCCCTAGTGGCTACAGCGTGCGACTGACTTTCTTTCTATGTGCGCATTTAACATTCGCTCGAACGGTGAAGGAAAACATCAAACATCGCCTTGCCTTTGACCCAAAAAGCGACGGCGCCTTGCCTAACACAAGGCACAGAATTGCCCACTTGCTTAGATTGACGAATGATCATGAAACAGATACAGAAATATGAGGCCCAGACCTAAATAGGTTGTAGAGCCACTGATTTTTTTAAAGATAAAAACTAGATTTCGGTAAAATAACGTTTTTCCTGGGCGCCTTAGGTACGAAATTTAAATTCAGTTATGCGCCTGGAAACAGCAAGTCATCTATACACTCGTATTATCAGCATTAGTTACGTTATACAAACGGAATTGACGCGATGATAACGTTTTACCTAAACCACACCTCTTTTTTAATGTCGCAGCCAACTAGCTTAGTAAGCCGTTCAATTAACAGCCTAGCCTCTTTACTAAACTGCGGGATGATATTCAATCGTTCGATCAAACAGCTAGGTAATTACAAAATAACTTGGATCGATGACGTTTCATTACTTGCTTGGCCTATTAGCCGCATCCACACCGAACGACCCAAAATGGATGCGCGATCCCGGGATCCGCGATCCAAGATGGCAATGCGTGGAGCGTGGATCGTACTAGGCCGATCCACCAGCAATCCATTACGATCCTGACTGGCTGATCCATCACGATCCTGCCGATCCGTACTGAATCAGTTGAACTTTGTCTGCAGGTCAATTTGACTTTTGTTCATCTCAAATATAGTAGGCAAACTAGTCGGTAGTTTGCCTATATTGGTGTAATATCATTAGGATCCCATAAACATTTATTGTCCCTATTAAGAGATATTAAAAAAATACATAGTGAATTATCCATAACGTTGGATCACGCGATTCAAAATCACAACCGTCCACACAGCGCGTGGCAAGTGACTGAGGCCCCTTGGAGCGTGAACAAACACCGACAACAAATGGATCGCACGCGGTGTGGAGCGGGCGCTTCCCGCCGCGCGCATGCATCGCGTGCGGCACGTTCACACCGCCTGCACATTTGGATCGCGCTCTTGCCGCGCGCGATCGGATCGCGATGGATCGTTCGGTGTGGACGCGGCTATTCATTACAATATAGTTCCAATTTCTGCCACGTTGCTCATGATTTCCATTGAACAGTTTTTAGTTGTTTCCGCTGAAACTCATTTTGAAAAAGATGCTTTATTAGAAAGCCTTTTAAAGTATTTGTATTTATTAATTTTTAATAACAAAGTTTTAACATAACTACAGCTAATTTAATAATGGTTCACTGCCACAGGGACCAAACTTTTGAAGTGAAACTTCTTCAGGCGCATGAGGCTAAATTTTTACACAAACGTCACGAAGATGTGCAGCGTTTTTGTCGAAGAAAAGGGAGAGAGCGATTGAGACCAATTGAGAGAGAGTGAGAAGGGCGAATTAACTTATAGAAATTATATTTTTTAAATTAAAATTTCGTAAAGAGAATTTATGAAATATTAGTATTTTTTATTTTATGCAAAATAATTTATTGAAATCTCAAATGACGAATTGTAAATTAAAATGCCACGTGTTTTTATTATAGAAGAAATAAATTAAAAAAATTAAATTTATAATTTGTATTAATTTTCGACACTTTTAAAATTTTAATGACGATTAAATTCATTAAACTCCTAACATATCTTCCTTTTTCCCTCCCTCTAAGTCAAGACAAATTAGTTTTCCAAAGAAGTTTCACTTCTGACATGTGCACTTTGTACGCACGCACTTTTTAAATTGTTTTTTTTTTAATCTTTTAATTACTTTTGTTATAACTACGTACTTTGGTTAAGAAAATTGTAAATACCGATTGATTGTTATGTTTAGGTTTCAATAAACGATTTTTTAATCATTCAAGATTCAAATGATTAAAAAAAAAATGTTGAAATTACTTGAAATAAAGGCTTTGAATCTTAGTTGATTTTTTAATATTTGATAAAAAATATAGGTGTTCATTCATAGGTGTTAAAACTTTTATGGAACGTTAAACTTCTAATTTAGAAATAAACTGCGCTAGTCTTTTGACGTCACAGCAGAAATTTGATGAATGTTTGATCAGGCGGTGGTGACTAAGCGTTAGGTACATCAATAATGTTTCCGTACAGGTAAATTAGCTTGGAGAAATTTTTGCGTTTGTAGTAGTGTATGGTCAGCAAATAAAAAAAAAACAACATTTTATTTTTAGTTTTTATTTTTTTAAAGGTAATATACGTTTGTGGCTGGAGCACACCAAATGCGTACACGTCTACGCATACGCACTACGTACTAATACGGACGTGAAAATGTGTATCCACTGCATTGTAATCTATGGAACTGTATGAGGCAGATAAGCCAGTTCCAAATATTACAAGCAGTGAATGCCGGTTTTCACTTCAGTGAAGACGTGTATGAATTAGGTGTTCTCCGGCCATAAATGTTTTATTCTAATAATTCATCAACCCCAGGCATATCACAATCATCCCCATCCTCGCTTTCATCAGATGAATTATTTAAATTAATTATGATTCGTTCTGATATTGTGTCTAAAGCTGCGTCTCTACCCTGATATTTGTTTTCCTCCTCAATAGCATGCAGACAAACTTTTCTCCATTCCTCTACAGTTATGGCGTTCATTTTTTCTTCAGCTAATGACATTATAACCTTCATATTCATTGCGACATTCTTTTTTGCGACATATGTTTTCACTATCCCCCATATATTTTCTATAGGATTAAACTCCGGATGGTATGGTGGTAAACGCAGCACAGTATGACCGTGCTGTCGTAATATTTCGTCTATCTTGTACTCTACAAATCTCGCCTTGTTTTGCAGAATCAGTTCATATAATTGAGGCTTAAGCAACGTGGATGAATGCTCAATGTTTCGCAATGTCAGCCAGTCAATCATTTGCTGTTTTCTAGAATTACTATTCGGTGCAGGATTTTGTATTGAGTTATGATATGGTGCGTTGTCAACAACAACAACACTATTTGGTTGTAAGTTGGGTATTAATTGAGTTTGAATCCACCTTGAATAGTTGTCATAGTTCATATTGTCGTGGTAATCTCCACTTTTTTGGTTGGCTTTAAACATAAGCAATGCATTTGGTATAAAGCCATCCATACCACCGGCATGAACAATGATTAAGCGGTTGCCTTTCGATATATGTTGCTTCAAACCTGAAGTGCTTCCATCTGACCAAGATTTCGAGAGGGTATGTGATGTATGTATATATGTTTCGTCGGTGTAAACAATTGGTCGGCGTTGTTCACGATATTCAGCAATTTTCATCAAATAATTAATTCGCAAGTATCTAATTTCGTGTTTTTCCATAAGAAGTTTCCGGTTATCTTCTGTTTGCTTCCAATTAAAACCTAATGACATGACGTGTTTTCGTAACGTGCTGACACAACCTTTATAATCGATATCTTCTTTTAATTTTGCGTGCAAAGTTTTCAAAGTGGGAATTTCTTTATTTGTGATGTGGAAGTCATGAATTGTTCTTCTGATAACTTGCTGATCAAAGTTATCGATTACTATTGTAGGTTTACGATTCGGTTTCTTTTTAGGAGATTTAAATGTTACTTCCTGATCTGAAGGTCGACATTTGCTTTCTGATACTACCTTTCTGACGGATGCTATTGAAATTCCCGTTGATTTAGCAACTAATTGAGTGGGAGTCATAATACTGCTCGGGTTGTTATTACACTCATTTTCAAAATATTTGTACAAACAGTACAAAACTTCTTTAGTTTGAGAAGTCAAAGGCTTGCCTCGACCATGTTTTAACACTGGAGCCATTTTTAATTAACAATATAAAGTTGCAACACTTACACACAAATTAAACACTTCAACAAATATTATAACAATAATAACAAACAATAACAACAATCAACAAATACAAAATTTAACAATTAACGTAATAATTATAATTTTTGAATGAAATGTGTGCTTTATGTTCTAACAGTACCAAGCGACTGACGCCGGACTGCACGTGGCACCTGCGGACAGCGTAAACTGGTTTATTCTGGTTTTGTGCGTGTTTCCACTTTCCACTATCAAGTGACGATTTTTTGCTTTAGATTGAAATATCTCGGAAACGGTGCGTCCTAGGCCAAAAATAAATTTTGACCCCCCGTAGACCCCCCGGAGTTTTAAAAACCTAGATGAAAGGAAAAAAAATATATATCGGTCTCTCCTCTTTGAAGTTTCACTTCTATCGTGTGTGAATCGCGCACACACCTTTTTTTATAAAGTCAAAACCTTTTTTTTAAATAAAAACTTGTTTTTATTGATAACAAAAATCAGAGTGTTGCTAGGGATAAGTATAATATTAAATAGTAATGTTAGGATATCGAAACATTTTTGTATAGGCCAGAACGATATAGTGGAAACGCGCTCTAAGATCTGAGTAATATACACACCACTACATATGCAAAAATTTCTCGAGACTAATTTCCGTACGTCAATACTACACTAAATCTCGTCTCTGAACCTGAGCCTAAAATGGAAAAACGTTTTTCAGGAACTGAAGGCTGGCTTATACAGAAAAACCTATGAAGCACAGTACAAAATAGTTGCCAGTCATTTAATCTTATCAAGCGATAACAGGAACACAAAGTAATTATTGTTTCTCGTTATCTCCTAACAAGTACTTCTAATTTAAATAGTTCGTTATGGAACAATTGACCTATAATAATCTGACTTATTTTCTTTTGACTCTTGGATAGGGCAGAGGGCGTCCACAGCGCTCCATCGCAGTTTACCTCGCTCCAAGTCTTTCCAGCTCTAGCCTCATCTGTAACAGGTGCGTTTGGGACGGCCACAGTTCCGTTTTTTATATCCTAGCTACCTTCAGTACCGTCGATCGGAACCCCTTCACGGGTAAAGGCCTCCTCCAGCTTTTTCCAACTGACTCTGTCTATGGCTTTCTTTCTCAATTCGCTACCGCTTCTATTTCGTCTATCCACTTTTTTTTGGGGCGCCCTCTTCTCCTTCTTCCCCTTAGAATTAAAAAAAGTAAAAATAAAATATGTTCATTATGGAACATAAGATACAGGTATGACTTATTCCACGTAATTTGAATCTGTAAGCATCCCTACTCATCGGCAAAGAAGACAGAGGGTGTAGGCCGAGAGAAAAAGCCGGCGTAAAAACTCTCGGTACTGTTCTAAAATAGCAAATCATCAAACAACACTTATTTTAAAACAAATATCGCAAATTAATTAGAAGTAGCCTGTCTAGCACTAGTCCCAGGCTATTTTATTAACTAGATAATAATCGTTAACTTTATATTAAGGCTTTTTACACAGCTTTTCTTTAATACATTTCTTAAATTTATTAAAAGTCGAGATAAAAGAGCCTCTGGGATTTTATTAAAGAAGAGTATCCCTTTTCCCAAAGAAGAATTACTAACTTTAGGTAGTCTAGTATGGGGAAATTGCAGTACTTTCCATATAGTTGTCTTTAAAGTCCACCTTTTATCTGTGTATCTTGATAATACTAAGCGTTCAAAAACGCAAAAATGTTTCAAAAATATCATATAATGCGGGCCTATAATATTACAAAATGATAATAGTTTTAGGAAATTATCTAAATGTTACGTGTATTTTAATCTGTATCGTTATCGCTTACATAAAAGTCTGAAGGTCGTCAAAAATATTTATTTATATCATATTTTGTTTTGACGCGAGTTAAGTTCAATTGCGGTTGTTTATTTTTCTTTTATTTTTACATTTTCGGTACAGAAACAGACAACAGATTGACCTGAAGTCCAATTAAACCTGTACACACAGCATTTTAGTGGGATATTCAGTGCAGCCTTGCGATTCGGTAACTCACTTTTCGAACTCACACAGCGGTTTTCATAGCGGCGGTCACGCTCAAATCAGTCGTAAAGCAGTCATTTTACGATTTGGCATTGTGATAAACAATAAACTACAAACTCCCTCCTTATCATAATGCTGTGAAAACCGTTGTGTGAGTTCGAAAAGTGAGTTACAGAATCGCAAGGACATAATTTGTTGTAGATATGTTTAAATATATGTTAAATGAAACACTTTGTTTGAAGCTTGGTAACTACTAGCTTCAATTATTTAAAACATGAGCTTATAACTAACATGAAATCTAACTTGTAGTGAAAACGAATAAAAATTATTGTGACTGTGTGGCTTATCAGATTTAATTCAAATTTTGCAAATGTCTTAAGATCGTTGAACCCTAAAGATTTATCATGGAAACGGCATAAACTATGGTTCAGATTGTACATAATTAAATCGCTTAAATTTCATTGCATTCTCTTGAGGTCTGAAAATAGGAAAAAGTCGCTGGGGGGCAAATCATTCCTAAAAATTCGGAATTATTACGATTGAACAGCTTCAAACAGTGCTCAGAATCATCAATTCGTTCTTGTTTTTGATCGATTTTGAGCTGGCGCGGCAGCCGGCACTTACTTCGACATTTCTAGGAAACATTTTTTTAGTTCGATAAAAATAACTATCTACTATAAAAAAAAAATAGGGGTTGTCGTGGAGGGGCGAAAATTACAAAAAAAATTGTCTATAAAATAAAAAAGTTTTTTGGAGTGGACAACCCTTTTCACTTAGGGGTTTGAAAGATAGATAGTAGCCGATTCTCAGACTGAATATGCATAAAAAATTTCATAAGAATCGATCGAGTCGTTTCGGAGGAGTATGGGAACGAGCATTGTGATACGAGAATTTAATATATTAGATAATCTATATCGCCCCAAAGTGGGCGTCCACAATGTGAATCCTCGGTGCTCATTTCGCTTCGTTCAAACTAAGCAAACCACTTCTCAACGATTGAATTTTCTTCCGAGTCCGAATAAGTCCGAATAATGTTTATCAAGCCAAGCCTTGGCTTCCATAGTATATTTTTCGCTTAAAAGCAATGTTTTATTATTAACACACGAAATTCGTTTTAATTCATTTTTAAACAAACAAAAGTTCCTTCGATTAAAATACCTCACAAACTAATAGTACGACATTTTTCACATTTATTTACGTCTTTTGAAGATTAGAGCTAACTAAAAATCATTTCTCTTGAGTACTAGTAGCGCCATCTATGTGTCAGCCTACGAACTTTTCAGGAATATTTTATTTGACTCAATTCTCTGTTCATCTATGAATTTAATAAACTTATATTAGAAACACTAGCTGAAACATCAAGAGTTGTTTAAATAAAATAATTTTAATAGAGTTGATGGTCATTACAGCACCAATATCGCTATTTAAAAATGAGGTTAGAAGATATTATCACACCTATACACAAAGAATTGCATAACATTCGGACGAGTTTGGTCCACCGTGCTATTACTAACTGTCAATGACTAAATTACTGATTATGCTTTTGGTAGTCACTCATCGTTTAGGAAGATTCAGAAACGAGACACGAATTAATTAGTAAATGCATTTTGTCGTACGGGTGAATAAGACTCGCACGCCCGCTATAGAAACTTATTTTAATCGATAAAATTCAAGGTCAAATAACGCCGTATCGGTCCACATAGTGATGGGCGTCACTACTAAATTTTTAACTTGTTAAAAATCGATTATATCAAAAGAAAAATGTGTACTTAACCTAATCTATTACGCTACTATGATAAAAAGACATCCGTGAACTATAATGTCTATTGAATTTATTGCATTTTATTAATAAAGAAATGTTTAATGTATTCCTAAATTTACCATGGAAACTTCCTAAATATCGATTATAACTATAGACAAATGTGTACATAAACTAACCTAAATTCACAACTAGGTACTTATGATAATAAGAGATCAGTAAACAGTCTACCTATTGAATTAATTGGATTTTATCAATTGAGAAATGTTAATGTATTCTTAAATATAGCTTGGAAACATCCAAAACAAATTTCGTTGGTTCCTTTTTAAGAAATATTATAAAACTTAAAATTCGACCGCGACCTATGTACGCGATAACCAGAACGTATACGTACATACTATGTTTCCACTAATAGGTAGATAGTGTGATTCAAGGATTACATGTAGGTATAAATACTTGTATTAATATAACAATCATCGTGTGTTGCAAAAAATCCTGTAAAAATACATGAATGTGCAGCTGTAAGCGGTAGTGAGATAATCGTAAATATATTTTTTAGCGCGATGACGTCATCTAATCGACACGGCCAAGGTCAAACAAAACGATTTTTGTGCACCGTCATCGTTACTTTGTATGGTATGATTTTTGATAATTAGGGTTGCCAAGTTCTCCAAAGTTGCTTCGCTTCTGTCATGGTTTTAAAAGTTATAGGTCTAGAAGGTATAGAAATCAACCCAATTATTAATATGAAAAGGAGTATTTATTCACTTTTAGCACTGTTGAATTGTTCGCTTTTTAGCCCTTGGAATTATTAACGCCTGTCTTAATAAAATGCGCAATTTGATTGTAAAAATTTATTTCAGAATCTGTTTCTAAGATAATTGTTTTATTTTATATATCCTTCCGTGCCTGACATTTAGTAGATTAGATTTAAAACATGCCGTTTTCCTTATTGCTCATAAGAAAAGCAGTAATAAATGAGGACTAAAAAGTCTGATGAATCCTGAGCGCCCTTCCCCGTCCGGCGAACGGCAACGCGAGCATGGCCAAAAAGCTTGTTGTTTCATCCAGCGCAACTACATTCAACTCCCGCGTCTCACCCCGCCCGTCCCCGCTCGACTCGTCCCCCGCTTACCACATGGCTAACAAGCAAGTGAGAACGCGATAACATTGAAAGAAAAATAGTGTGCGGAAATTTCATAAAACTTGTAACAAGAAATACGTGTTTTTTCGTAAGCCTTACAAGATTATGAAAAAAAGTTTTACATTTAGAAACTCCATTACATTTGCAAGGTTTCTATGAAAATATTTCCGGTTACAATTAATGAGTACATTATAAACGCCCAAACTTCATATAAAATTTGTGCAAAAAGGCAGATTTTTGGAGGTTTGTACTGAATTTGTTTCTTAAAATTTTGATTTCGCGTTTTAAAGGAAACCTAGATATAGTGCACAAGATGCCTATTAGTTCAAAACTTTCAAAGAAATATCTGTTACAACGGCATAATCACGTACGAGCGTTTGTATGAAAAGATAGACGTTTTGGCCGCTCTTAAGGTCTCTGCAGTGAGGCTATGGAATTCACTTCCTGTCTCTATTCGCTTAGCTCCTTCTCTATCTTCCTTTAAATCTCTATTATACAAACATTACCTGTCCACATCGTATCCCTAACTTTCGTACTAACTGGCGTGAGACTGGTCTAGGATCCGAGCGGCTTGATCCTTTGGCGTTGCGTAGAGATGTGGGGTCACTCTGCATCTTCTACCGCATTTACCATGGAGAGTGTTCAGAGGAGTTGTTCGGATTAATACCTGCAGCTGAGTTTCATCATCGGACGTCGAGACAGAATACGAAATTCCACCCGTATCACCTCGACGTCCGCCGTTCCACAACAGAGCGTTTTTCAAGGCAGTTTTTGCCGCGCACCACCACTATGTGGAATCAGCTGCCCACTGAAGTATTTCCGAACCAATTCGACTTAGGGTCCTTCAAGAAAAGAGCGTACCAATTCTTAAAACGCCGGCAACGCACTCGCGAGCCCTCTGGCATTGAGAGTGTCCATGGGCGGCGGTGTCACTTAACATCAGGTGAGCCTCCTGCCCGTTTGCCCCCCGTTCTATAAAAAAAAAAATTAAAAAAAAAGGATCTAGAATTGTCGTGATTGACTTTTTATTTTTCATGTGTCCTTTTTTAGTTTAGTATTTTTTTCGCCAGTTGCCCTCCTTTGCATTTAATTCTGTCAATTTTATTAATATTAATAAATAAATGAAATTTCTATTGATTTGCAAGGATTCGAACGCTTGAACGTTACCTGTAGTACATATGTATGTCAAAATTTGGTATTTCCTATATCGACAGCCCTATGGTATCTTTCGTTGATTTCAAGCAGTTGTATCTATAATCAGCAAATAAGAGCCCCTAATAAAATAAGATAATATATCGCTATTCTGTTAGTTAAGGATAAACATTCGAACAGAAAGAACGTCTAAAAGGTAAGTTGTGAAAAATATTTCATGTGCTTTGATAACAACGAATGATATGTTAGTAATATATAAATATACTAGCAGCCCGTCCCGACTTCACACGGGTGGACATTTGTTTTTGAAGAAAAATTGTAGATGGAATTATGTTCTTTAATATTGTGAAAAAAAATTTTGTTCTATCATCGGTATCATCATTGTGAAAGAATTATAAATAAATTAAAAATAAAATTTCTGTTAAGGTAGACCTATTTGTTTGCACACTGGCTGAGTTCACAAGAGTTGCATCCTATATTATTATGTAGTTACTAGTGGACCCCACAGACGTTGTCCTGCATGATATTTAAAGCGATTTGGATATTAAGCAAAGTATGAAAGTACCTACTGCAGTGCCATCTGCCGGGCTGATTTGTGAATCTAAACCATTCCCAGATCCCCTTGAACACACACAAAAAATTTCATCAAAATCGGTCCAGTCGTTTAGGAGGAGTTCAGTCACATACACACGCACACAAGAAATATATACGTATATATTAAGATAAGATTTAGGTATATAAATATATTTTTTTTTAATGTTTTTAATCTAGGTTAATTGGTGTGGGTGTAAATATTGTGTCGTTCTATCGAATTAGTAATTACTGTAAAGATAGAATAATGATATGGAATAAAAATAATTTTTTTTTTTTTTTTTTAAATCGGTCCAGTACTTTTTGAGCCAATTCGTTACTCACATAATTACATACAAATCTTTCCTCGTTATAATATTTGTAGAGATATAGATAATGTACGTACGTATAGCGTTACGGTCACGAGAGTGCTTAAGCTAGGGTTTCCTAGAAAAGCGGTACCGTTATCTAACGGCCGTAATGTAGCGTTGGGTGACGTCACCCATACGTTGTCTATAAATACCCAACGTTCTCTAGGAAACCAACTCCGATGATATTTATAGACAACGTATGGGTGACGTCACCCAACGCTACATTACGGCCGTTACATAACGTCACCGCTTTTCTAGGAAACCGTAGCTTTAGCAACAACTTAGTTCGTCGACTAAGATTCTTCGTTATTCATGATGAATGTTAGTCTGCCAAGGCCCATATGCAGTTGTAGCGCCACTGGATTATTAAGAGAGTCACAAATTTTAGTTTTGGTTTTGGGGTGGTTTTAGTATTGACCGGAAATCACGTTCCCTGTTAATAGGTAAGCTTAATTTGTTCAAATGATTGATTTTAATTTAGATTTCCAACCACTATAAATTTAGAAATGATAATCCAGTGGCGCTACAACTCCATACGGGCCTTGGCAGACTACATCCGTTTCTTTCATAGACAAGTAGGTGATCAGTTCTGACTCAGACAGATCGATTTATTTATGATGTGAGACATTTTCTCACGATGTTTTCCTTCACTTGAGGATCGAGTGTCAGGTGCGCCCAGCGCCATATAGCAATTGGTCTCGAACCTACGACCTTAGGGATGAGAGTCGTCCTATGGCAACACTGCTTTGTAAGAGAGCATTTAAACCATACGTTTTGACAACAATTATATTTTTATCATATTATGATATTAATTATGACCTTTGCATGCCTATTTTTATATGGCTGTGCAATGTTTTTCATAAATAATAAATCTGAATATACCACTTTCTTTGTAATTAAGAATATACTTTGGTTCCAGCACAATGGAGAACGTTACACTACACTACTTCCCATTCAAGGGTTTGGGCGAGGGGATTCGCATGCTCCTTACTTACGGAGGTCAAAAATTCGAAGACACGCGTATACCATGGGAACAGTGGCCAGAGTTCAAGCCGAGTAAGTAAAAAGATTTAGTTGATATCAGCTATAAGTATCGGGTCCGATGGCTGGCCATGCGTCATACTCGTGAACGGGTGCTACTTGTGGTGACTGGTCGGACTTGAATTTGTATATGCGGTGATATTAGTTATTTCGACTGTATTTGCGTGATTTTTCCACGAGAATATAAGTGCGTGCTCCTATTTCACCATGCCTCCTGCAGATAGAGGACAAATCTTTGTTTTTAATTTATTTGATTACTAATAATTAACTATTAATTACTTAAGATGTCATGAGGAACATGGTGTAATGGTTGCAGCTCCTTACAAACAGCGTGTGAAACAAAAACTTGGCGATTAAAAATAGTGGATGAGAGTTTATTCTGTTCCGTTCTAAGCCATTGATTTGAGAACTGGCAGTAAATGTAAAATTAGAAGCATTTAATATGTATTTCCTTTTGACGTTCATATGTGTACATTGTGTTACCTATATGAATATATGATTTTGATTTGATTTATCGTCTAAAGGCATTGAAATGTTTATATGCAGACAATTGTGTCATTATTTGCCCTATCAGCTTTTATCTAAGTATATTTGTATCTAATATATGATAACATTTTATCAGTGATAAAAGTTTAATCAGTGATGAACTAATAGGGGAAAAGTTTTTGGTCTGCTATATACCTAGTCCAGCCATAAGTTCTGTTACTAATGAAAATGCATTTTTTTAAATAAACTAAAGTGTAGAATCCTGCTGGAAAGTCCACGGTATGTTTTTAAAAAGTGTATTGCTGAGAGGTTTCACGACATGCTCCAAGACTGTATTTTGATACACTTTGGCTGAAATTTTCACTTCTTTTTCAACCTCCTTGACAAAACACACCCCACCAAACCATCACTGACGCAGGATGATGACCACGTTGTACCTATCCGACCACTTGAGCAGCTTCTCTAGAATTGTGAGCGTACACTTTTTCATTTTGCTTATTGTAGTGTTCTTCAATCGTGAAAATGTTTTCATCGGTAAACAGGATATTTCTGTGTTTTTACCTGCGTATCGCGACAGAAGGCATTTTGATCGATCCACTCTCTTGAATTGTAAAGATTGATTTAGGTCATGTCATGTATATCGACGATAAGCACAGAGCTTCAGGTCTTGTTTTAATAATACGCGACAGAGTCCTATCGGCAATCTTCATTTCTCGCGATAATATGCTTCCTAATGGGGTTTCGACGAACTCTGGCTTTAACAGCATTAACAGCCTTTGTAGTTCTAACAGCACGCGCCCCGATCATTCTGGTCTTCGACAGACGATGTGTTGTTGTATCTGTTGATAGTACTATATACGATGGTACGGCTCATACCAAGCTTTTGAGGTGTCTGGAATATGACGGCCCATCCATCCAGGCATCCTAAATCATTCCAGTTTTTTTTTAAATAAATTTTTACTTCACTGGGACATCATTGAACATTACTAGTTAGTAAATTAAGTCTAACCTTCCACACACACAGTCTCTCTTTTAAGCGGAAGACACTCTGTTCTTGTGTTCTATTTCTCCACTTACCACTAAGCACTCAAGACTAACGTGCACTAACACTAATTCAAGTGGTTTTGTCCGTTTTAATCTTCTCACTGGTGTCAAGAAGTTGAATAGAGATTCACGTGTTGGTGGAGCCTTTGTTCGTAGGCTTCAGCAATCTATAATCAGCTCCAGCAATATCAAGATCCCGATAGAAGTCGTCATTGCGAATGTACCAGTTTCAGTTATGAAACGTATACGGCGCTGATTATCGTAAACATATAAACTTACACAAATTAAAAAATGTTTAAGTTCAAACTATTTTTAACAAAACCATTTCAGAAACTCCATTCGGTCAGATGCCGGTGTTAAAAGCGAATGGTAAGACGTACAGTCAAACCCTGGCTGTCGCACGGTTCCTTGGCCGCAAGTATGGACTCGCCGGTGAGAACTTGGATGAAGCCTTCGAAATCGACCAGAACATGGACTTCTTCACCGAAATTCGTGTCAGTAAGTATCAAATGTTGAACGGGATATGAAATGGGATTGTATATAGATAGACGCACATTTGGTCCGTTGAGCCCTCCTCTTACGGTACTTTCAAAGTTCCCCGATACTAAAATAGCTATATCATCAGCAGACCCGCGTACAATATATACAATTTTATTAACCTACACAGTAATAATTAAAAAAATTAAAAATGAATAATAAGAATTTTGAAACAAATTTAAAAATGAGTACTATTGAAATAAATGATTTTATTGGAACTGTTTTCATTTGGGATAAAATAACTTGCCTTACTTGTTGATTTGCTATAGTATTGTTACAGTCACGGGATAAATAATATTTATTTTGTTGAAATTTTAGAACATTGTCGTGATGATACACGCACATATCGTTACTATGATTATTTAACCGCATATTATATGTTGTTAGATTGTGCCTACATAACCAATTCCATTCTTAGCTATTTATTTCATGGTCGTAGGAACTTATTACTTTAAATAGATGACCTTAGCAAACAGATTTATTTAATATTTATACGATATATCGTATATTAAAAGCTAAACATAACAATTAAATATACAGTAGGTATTTACAATTTTCTTAACCTACATTAATAAAATTAATAAAAATAAAATTAAAACAAATTTAAAAAGGTCCCTGTGTGTACCAGTTATTCGATACGAGGAAAGCACCAGCTCTGGGGTGGGTCACTGGTACTATCTACCAGGCGCTAACTTTAATATTTAATGAGTGCCTAAAATAGAATAGATTAGATCTCTTTGAATTAAGAAAACTCTTCTCGTCTCGTCAGAATAATTAGAGCGCGTTTTTAAATTCATTAAAATTGTGTAATTGCTTCTGTTTAGAATCGTCCACCCCCATGTTCGAACAGGACCCAGAAGTTAAGAAGAAATTGAAGGAGAATCTTGAGAAAAACTACCTCCCGGGCGCATTGAAGCAACTGAATGAAATCATTGGCCAGAACAATGGCCACATCGCAAATGGAAAAGTGAGTTATTATTTCTAAAATTTGTTTTGTGCGTTAAGCATATTTTATAAGCAACCGGAATCTTATTTTTGATATACGTTTTGAAGCCAAGTCTGTAGTCTATTGAACTTTATATAACTAACTGTAGTAGTCTGTGTCTACAGTTCAGACTGTAGGTACCTACATAAATACGTAAATATGTATATAAGAGGGTTAATGACTACTGATCTCTGAAGATAATAGACTGAGTTTATGGTGGTGGGGTTTTCGTAAACCAAGCTGGCTCACCACCAAAATTAAGATTGAAAGAGTCTTCAGTGTTTATTTCTACGAAAAATATATATAATCTGCCCCCGCGAGCTACGTTTCGCATTAATACGATTTTATAATAATAATTTATTTATTGCAATGGTTCAAAAATGTGTAAGGTGGTACAATCGTCAGTTCGCATATTCTGCCACACACAATGGCGGGCAAATTTGTCTTAAGGAATTTTACATTTAGTCAAAGTCAATTCTTATATTATTTGTATCGTACATATCCATACTTTATTAAATTTATATTAACTACAGTGTCTCACGCAAATAATCATTTATTGATAAGTAAATTTTAAAAAAGTAATACACTAAGTCGCTTTTTAAAGACTAGTCGGACGATCTTTTAATTCTTTTGGTAATTTATTGTAAACCTTAATTGCCATACAAAAGGTGTTTTTCCTAAACAGTTCCAAATTGATTTTTGGCACAGCCAATTTCTCCCCATGTCTATTTCTTACTTCGACTTCTACATTTTTACTAAGCTTCCCTTTTTAGTAGCTACATACCAACATAATATGGAACATTTTGCTATGCTACCCTATAGAAATTGTCCGCTTTTCCGGAATAAAAACCTAAGTACTAAATAAATTTAAATTGTTCCTTTCAATAAAAACCATTTCCAGAGTTCAAGGAATAAATCAAATTCTCGAATTGGTCCAGCCGTCTCAGAGTTTTGGGCTATGCAAGAGTTTTTAATGTCACGTTGAAATTCCGAACAAACACGTTTGACGGCGTTCTTAGTAATTAGGACATATGCGTTAAAATGTTGTGTCTTTATATCGTAAAATGAATATAAGAACTACAGGCAGTCAATATATTCAATCAGTATCATCTCTTGGCGCTGTCAGGCCCACTCTCCATCTGCTTATCATTTACTGTGAAGAGTATTCGAATTCATTAGGATTAAAAGCTGTTTATATAGTATAATACTTAATTTCAACAACGATACCAATTTTAAATCTATTCTTACGTTGCGTGTTTGACCACAAGCGTGACATCCATTGACCCGTGACCATGCTCGTTCACGGGGGTCGGGACTGATTTAAAATTTTTATATTCCGTTTTTATATTCTTTGTGTTGTACATTGAACACATAGCTTTTCGTGACTTAGCCCTTTTTTACAGCTAAGCTGGGGTGACTTCGTCATCGCTGGGGTATACGATGCCCTGAAGAATATGCTCTTCCAAATGCCAGATATGGATGAGAAGTTCCCTCACATTAAGAAGCTTAAGGATAATGTTCTGTCATTACCGAAAGTTAAGGAATACGTCGCAACAGCCGCTCCTAAAACCGAAATGTAAATAGGTGTTATTTTAAGAAAACGTGATACTTGGTAATAAATTTATTTATTTTATTCTGTATTTTATTTGAAACTTGCACCACTACTCAAACTCAAAATAACTTTATTCATATAGGTAACAAGTACACTTATGAACGTCAGAAAAGAAGTTAAATTAATTGTTAATTTACATTTACTAGAAACTTTTCGAGCGGGCAAGAAACTTTCCGCCATTCTTTTTAATCGCTAAGTTTTGACTCATACACATTCTTTTAACTGGAGCAAATCAATCCCAAGGATTAGGATCATTTAAATGTTCATCAAATTTATAAAAACTTTATTGATTAATTTACGTTTACCGAGGGCTTTGAATTTATTTAGTGACAATTCTCTAATTTCGCTTGGGAGTTTGTTGTAAAAACGAATACAATTTCCATAAAAGGAGTAGTTTATCTTCTGGAGCCTGGTTGGTCGTACACTCAAATTAGTTCTGGTTCAAGTATTATACTGGTGAAAGTCACCATTAGTTTTAAAATCATTATTTTTTTACATACAACAAGGATTCAAAAATAAATAGACCAAACTAGTGACCAGTACTATAAGTAGTAGATAATAAATTATTTTTGAGTCGCTTTAGAAACAAAAAAACTGGCCTTATTTACCCAGTTCTTTTAGCGACAGTTTCATCATGGCCGAATCGGCCTGCAGAATATTTTATGAATTTCTCAATAAATGAATAAAAAAATAGTTTTTCAATTATAGCAATTAGTATTTCCGATAAATTCGTTCAACTGATCGAATTAAAAAGATTTATTTGATGAAATTCAGAGACACTAAATTCACTACACACTAGATTCAGACAAGTAAATCCCAGCGCCATCTTTGTCCCGGAAGATGTTTACGTAACAAAAAACATAATATCGTTTAGATAACTAGTCATACTTTGTTTTTATTTAAAATTTAAATAGATAAAATACAATACTAAAAATAAATTATAAAAATAACAAAAAACTAAATAATTGAGAGTTCGCAGCATCACCATTACTCGGCGTATTCCGAATGGCTAGCCGTTCAAGGCTACTGAGTGCCGGTTATCATAGGGTTGACACACAGGCGTATAACCGACTAGCATACGACTACTTTGCATGGACATATAGATATCTTGAAAAAAATGGTTGTCGGACGGACGATAGTTTAACGTGACGTCATAACAAAACATTGAATAATTTTATACATAAAATTGAATCATTTTTATTGAATTATCACGATTTTGTATGGATACAAAGGAGTGAATCCTCGAAGCATAGGCCAATCGAGTGGATGAGAAATGGATGCGGCTCAAGCGTACAATGAGCGTAACGGGACAATGAGTCATACTTTTTAGTGCGTCCAGCCGGTGTTCATCGATTTAGACGTTGTCACGCCAAAAAATACTTATATAATGTCATGTAGTGCTGTGTGCAGAGGTAGGCGTAAACGTATTGCGTGTTGGAACGTGGATAAGGCTGTTGTTACCACATCCCTCCTAGGGCGATTGCTGGCGCTTTGGATTTTAGTTATGCACAATAGCAAGTCCTACATAACGCTCCCGTACTAAGCAGTCGCCACGGAAGACTATGCACAATGCATAGAAAAGAGAAAAGTCTTATTCGGTTAGAGAGAACAGATGGACTAGTACAATAATTGATTTAACAAAAATACTTATATCTAAACAGATCCGAAATATAATTACCAATATCGAGACGACTATTTTTGAGGTTGTACGTGCATCAACTTGGGGGTTCTCCCCTCAGATTTAGGGGGAATCAAGATGTCTTGGGGGGTGGAGGGGCTATATAAAGTACCCAAGTAATACAAGATTTTTTTTTTAAAACGCACGATTCTGTACAATTTATATTAAGACTAGAACCCAATCAACTAACAAAACCAAAACTAAGCTTAAAGCGTGCTATACTCCTACATAGATTGAAATTACCTCTCAAACTGAATGTAGCACAAAAATTTAGGGGGTTTTAAATTTAAATATTTGTGGATATTTGAAGTTGGCTGCGGCACATTATGTAGGAGTTTGCATGACTGGATTTATAAATAGTTTTCAAAGCAGTACCTGCAGCTAGAGTTGGTTCAAATAGTGCACGAATTAATTATACAACTAAAAAAAGCATTGCTCTTGTACTGTTCCTGGGTAATCGGGGTGCTTTAAATAATAGAGGATTTTATTTTAACTCTATATTAAACACTCGCGTAAAACAATAGAGTATAAGCGAAATGGTAAATGCTATTTCACGAACGAATGCAATGTAACAGTTGACTGTGCCTGCGTCTGGCTATAATCTCTGAGTGTAACTCAGACGATTTAGGACATCACCACGCTTATAAAACTAAGAAAGCCTGAGTAAGCAAAATGTACAGCTCTTTTATAATATAGAAACTTCAGTTATTTAGTTAGGATCCTTGTCAATCATGAAGAACAAACAGTAGAAAATAACCATATTGAAGCGGTATTCTACATAATTTTTATATTATATTGACTGTTAAAAGCTACATTGCCACAGGAACCAAAGTTTTTACTTACTTTACTATCCATTAATTACTAAGTTATTGAGTACTTTAATACCCCAACTGTACTATAAAACTCTTAATTATACAAATTGGTATAATTCATTAATAAAACACTATTTTGACCGGATTGAAGTTATGTATTATTATAAATTTACAACTATTTAACATAATTTTAAATTTATCCGACGTTTCGCGTGCTTTACAGCGTGCGTGGTCACCGTGACCACGCACGCTAGAAAGCAAAAGCAAAAGCAGTCCGGTCAAAATAGTGTTTTATTAAATGAATAAAAGTTATGTTAATCAAAGACAATACTATAATTCATTAACCCATTTTGACATAAAGAGACTTTAGTTTTATTGATTTAGCATTTACGTATTCTGGTTGATGATTATATACTGTAGTTGAATATTTTTGTTCTGTACCTCTACTTAAACGTTTTAGCCTCCATATATTATTCATAATCATCATTAAGGAGGTCGTTATAGAACACATTGTTTACGATCGATTAATATATTTTTTAGTATTGGTGTACAGGAGTTAGTCAAGGTTGTCATTAGGGCAGCTTATTTTCCAAAACTTTTACGATTACTTTCTCTACCACTGAGCAGTGTTGGCCTAGTGGCTTCAGCATGCGACTCTCATCCCTGAGGTCGTAGGTTCGATCTCCGGCTGTGCACCAATGGACTTTCTTTCTATGTGCGCAACATTAGCTCGAACGGTGAAGGAAAGCATCGTGAGGAAACCCACACGTCTTAGACCCAAAAAGTCGACGACTTGTGTCAGGCACTGGAGGCTGATCTCCTACTTGCCTATTAGATTTAAAAATGATCATGAAACAGATTCAGAAATCTGACGCCCAGACCAAAAGAGGTTGTAGCGCCAATGATATATTTATTTTATTCTAATTATGTAAGAATATATCGCCTTTAAATTTACTATAAACTATTGTAAATACAAAAGAAAAGGATCAATCAGACCGCATGTTACTACTAAGAACTCTAAACCACTTTATTAATCACTAGTAACCTGATAGAGCTTTATGTTTTAAAACTTTTTAAAAAATGAATACAGTAAGAAAATAATTTTGTTTTATCTAAATTATCATGCTTTTGTTTGTTATTTTTGCATTAAGATGTGTTATTTTTGTACATTAAATAAAAAAAAGGTTTCAAACTTCAAGATTATTATTGGCTTGCTAATGTACTACATAGATATTTCTTCATTTTCTACATTTGACAACCCTAGGCGACGGTGGGTGGGTACGTTAAACTTGTAACCGTCGGAACTCGGATAACAACTAGTCTGCCGCGTACCACCGTAGTGTATTGTCGCATCTCGTGTTTTGAATCTCAAGTAAGTACTAAGTACATATTATAAATACGTTTAATACAATTAAATTTTATACTTTTGAATTAAAACTTTATTTTAATAGTTAAATATACTTACTGTTAAAAGTGTTTCTTATATTTCCGTTAGCATCTTGCAATGATTAATTCTGTTTAATTTGTATTTTTTGCTTAACTGTCGAGTGTCGACACTCGACGTATCAATTATCATAAGTACGAACAGTTCGTACATATTACAACTCTAAGGCCACGTTCACACGGCGATTATTTTCCCGTATACCGTATACGAGATTTTATCGAATAGAGTAGTGACAACAGAATATATATGAAAACTTAAAAATTGTTTACACGGCGTTCATACGGGAAAATCCCGTGTTCGAGAAATATATTTTACCGTATACCGTGCGAAGTTGTCACTGGAAACGCCGCGTCTCGAAACGATTTTATCGAATACGACACGCAGTGGCGCTTATGTTCATGTTGTCTCATTCACACGACTCGCCCATTCGAGAATCGAACGCACTCGCACGCGTGGCCTGCAGTTGCCCTTGTGCGTTGCATCAGTCGGTTGTCAATATGGAGGACAGAATTCCAATATTGATCGATGATTTTATTTCCTTGATCGAAAAAAAAAATCTAATCGAATGGTTGCCGTGTGAACGATTGCATCGTATACGGTAAAACCGTATACGTGAAAAAATCGAATCGAATGGTCGCCGTGTAAACGTGGCCTATACGTTTTTTAGTAAACTAATGGACTAAAACGATTTTAATGAAATGTTTGGATTGTGTTGCCAAGAAACCTAGCGGATGGTAGAATGCTTCTAAAACTACCGTATTTTCCGTAATTATGTTGTAATTTATATTTGAAATACGGTAGAATTACCTTATTAATTTTGTAGTATGAAGAGTCAGAGTTGAAAAATAAGACATATTTTTAATCAGAATCAGACAGTATAATTGTTTCAATATTTTCATACATATCAATTTTATGTTTTTCAATTATAGAGGGAGTTGGATTAAAATTATTAAATTAATACAGTTTTTTCCGTGTCGCTGTATGGCCTGTTGCGATAAAAGATTACCCTTAATGGATTTTGTAAAAAGTTTATTCCGTATTTCGTTTTGATGTCGTTAACACTGTTGAAAACTCATTCACACTCAGCATTCGAATGTGGTAGAGACAAAAAAGTATTCATAGAAATTTAAATACATACATCTCTACCGAATTCGTTCGTTATAATCGTACGGTAGATGGTAGATCTTTGCTGATTACGGTGTTTTCACCGTAATTACGGTGCAGTTGGCAACACTTTGAACAGAGAGAACTGAGTATTAAATACCAAGTTTTAACAAACATTATTTAGGAGTCACATAGAAAATGAATTTTGATATTTGTGTTAAATTTAATGCCTAATTAATTAGCGACTTAAAGTCTGGATGCCAGGAAAAGATTACTTATATAAACGATAAGGCCTATTGCACAATGTACATACCATTAACATTTATTATTTTTTATTTATTGTGTTTTATTAATGTATGAAAACTGCAGGAGTACAAAATTTTATTAATTTTTAGTTTCAGGTAAAATGGAGAACGTTGTATTATACTACTTCCCCTTCAAGGGTCTAGGTGAAGGTCTTCGTATGCTGTTGTCTTACGGTGGACAGAAGTTCGAAGACCACAGAGTGCCCAAGGATCAATGGCCAGAATTCAAACCAAGTAGGTTTTTGATAGATATACTCCATTACTAAATAATATATATATATGTATTAAAGTATCGCTTTTACACACTCGTCCTGCCCACTTCCCTGCCCATTTCCCTGCTCACCACGGCTGAATGTAAATGCGGCATTAGACCTCTTGATAACAATATTTAAATATTTTGTTATGATAAACCTAGTACAGAGTAAACAAATATCAAAATTTAATTATAACTTTGGACCCAATTTTAAGCCATAGACTATTATAGGTTATCTTTTATTGACATAACTTTTGCACATTTAAAGAAAACACTTTTTTACCGGATTGAAGTTATGTATTATTATAAATTTACAATTATTTTACATAATTTTAAATTTTTCCGAAACGTTCTTTATTATAGATTATTTTTTCGATAGACAAAATGGCGGATGTTAGATCAGCTGTTTAGTATCAATTTAGATTTTTTTGTTTATACAGCAGAACCTGTATAACTCAACATCAAGGTCAACGCCAAAATATTCGAATTCGAGACTAATTTTTTTTTACTTTGAATTTTGAATTTGGCGGAATTTGATTCGACTTTTAGAGGTTAATTTTTACTAATTTTAACTCACATTGTCAAATATCAAATCAATTAACTTATTTTTTTCGAATTCGACAATTCGAATAGTGCAACGACAATTCATAAGTGTACTTGTTTACCCATATGAATAAAATTATTTTGAGTTTGAGTAAAAAATGTGTTCATTAGGAATTATATATTAGGAATTTCAATTATTTTTCTCTGGATATTGTTCAACATGCGTGACTAACTCAGTTTCTATATTTCAACAAATTATAGAATTGACGATTGATTAAGGGAAAGAAGTAGGGTGAGTTGGGGCAAAATTGAACGGGTTTTTGATAAGATGAGCAGAGTTGTGTTTGAACCTCTTGCAGAACACTATATATTGACCTATACTAATTATTGGCTTTGATTAGTAACGAGCAAAAACTATATTTTTTTTTATCATATCAATAAGATAAAGTAAAATCTGTTCCAAAGCAGAGAAAATAAGTCAATAAAGTAATAAAGATACGACTACAAAATAGGGTAAAGATTAAAACGTGACGGGGAAAGATTGCATTTTTTTCTAAAATCTTTAAAATTAATGTGAGATGTCGTCAACGGTTTTGGGTACATACTACATAGCTTTTAGTGACTTGAAAACTCACGTGTGACTTTAGTGAACAAATACCTTTGTTTAACAAAGATTGAAACAGAACTTCTCAAACATTTCTATCTCAGTCTTGAACCAGAATTTAGTGAACCAATCTGGTCCTGGAACACCGTCCTTAAATTGGGTAACATAGCGCTATACGAGAAAACTTACTTCTTTTCTAGATAGCCCAAGACTTTAAGGCCATTTGCTAATCTTATTTCGATTACAAAGACAGGAGGGCGAACTAATGCAATACTTTAAACTCCGTTTTTTTTCAAACGGTTGTAAAGGGTAGTAATGGGTATTTCATAAATTTTAGTTGCTCTAAATGTTAAAACCTTTCATTTTACTTTTTCTATGGCTTCGGCTACATCTTTAGTAGGTATAGGATGTTGCATGTAACGATTTCCGGACGTAATTACGAGGCATTTGAATAAAACAAATGCAATTATTAAATAATTAGGTATTATTACACGTTAATGTTCAACTATAATATTCATTAAACATTTATTTATTTATAGCCTAATATCAGATATACAAAATATATACATTACCTAACCTAACTATTGTTTTTCTTAATTTACGATAACAGATTCTGTGTGCCTACGGGCAAAGGCCTCTCCCATTGTCCTCCATTTATCTATATTGTCAGGTCTTAGTCTTTCCAGCCATTTCCATGATTTCATCGGCCCACCTTTTAAATTGCATTGGATTCATTAAACATTACTTAGGTATTTATAGTGTCAACGTCTGATATTGATAGATTTTTATTTTAGTTTTGCAATTTAAATTACATAGATTAGAAGAAGAATCGAAAATTAATTTATCTTTGCATATTCGGTAATGTATACATAATCCTGTGGAAATATCAACTAGGTACGTTGCCAATTTATTTCCTGTTACCTGTTGATGTTTGAGAATAACTGATTTTTTGTATGAAACTTGGGAACGGAGTAAAATCGAAACAATCATCATATATCTATATATATTCTATATCTATCTTACACCGTAATTTTCTTTAGGTAAAGACGGAAAGTTGAGATATTACCTAAATTACTAAAAATAGCCGTGATTTTAACGTGATTTCGTAACTAATAAAAAACTATAATGAAATATTTATATGAAACAGTCGCACCTATCTTGTAATTAAAGTTACAATACACTAAGATTTAATCGCTTGAAGATTATAGAAAAAATCACGATGCCGAAATTATCCAAATTCACGCACTTCACGCACTCTGGGCGGTTAACTTCGAATGTGGCTTGGAATGTTAAAAAATACGTTAAAATTGGTGTTATAGACGATTTGTTGTCTTACCCCATTTTTCATATTGCCCCCACTTACCCTACCTACAACTTTTTCAATAGCTATTTTTTTTGTAGGGACCCCTAAAAATTTTGGCCAAAAGTCAACAAAGCGCATCAACAAATTTATTCCAAATCAAACTTCTACCGTCTTCTGTTTACCTATATTCATATAGGTAAACAAGTACACGTATGAACGTCAAAAAAAAAAAGTTAAATTAATTGTAAATTTACATTTACTACCAGTTCGCAAGTCAAGGACGTAGAGCGGGCAAGAAACTTTCCGCCACTCTTTTTAATCGCTAAGTTTTGAGTCATACAAATTGTTTGAACTGGAGCAAATCAATCCCAAGGATTAGGATAATTTAAGTTATCGTCAAAAACCGCTTAAAGATACTTGACATCCGCCTGGAGCCTTCAGGCCTTTCAGACTTTACTGATCGAGTTCCTGTCGCAGAACATCCTTCCTTCAAATTTTCATACCATAATACTGTATTCCAGAAACTCCATTCGGCCAGATGCCAGTACTTGAGATCAATGGTAAGAAATACAGCCAAACCCTGGCCATGTCCCGCTACCTCGGACGCAAATACGGAATCGCCGGAGACAATCTTGAAGAGTCCTTCGAAATTGATCAGAACATGGACTTCTTCACTGATATTCGCCTAAGTAAGTAATTTAATTAAATATATAGAAGGGATGATCACGACTCATTGAGACGACTCATTGGTCTAGTGGTTAGTACCCCTGACTGCGAAACCATGTGTCCCGGGTTCGATCCCCGGCTGAGACGAACATCGATGTGATGAGCATTTTGATGTTGTGCTTAGGTCTTGGGTGTTTAAATATGTATTTATATGTCTATCTATCTTTAAAATGTATCTTCTTCTTATAGTGCCATCTCCTTGCGAAGGTTGGCGATCATCATGGCTATTTTAATTTTGGATGCCGCGCTTCTAAACAATGACTTGGTGCTTTGACCAAAATTTTTTTTTTAAAATGTATGTATGTATATCCGTTGCCTAGTACCCATAACACAAGCTTCACCAGCTTAGCATGGGACTAGGTCAATTGGTGTGAATTGTCGTTAAAAAAAAAAAAAAGATCAGTGTTGGCCTAGTGGCTTCAGCGCGCGACTCTCATCCCTGAGGTTCAAGGTTCGATCCCTGGCTATGCACCAATGGACTTTCTGTCTATGTACGCATTTAACATTCGCTCATACGGTGAAGGAAAACATCTTGAGGAAACCAGCTTGCCTTAGACCCAAAAAGTCGACGGCGTGTGTCTGGAGGTTGATCACCTACTTGCGTATTAGATTGACATGATCATGAAAAAGATTCAGAAATCTGAGGCCCAGACCTATAAAGGTTGTAGCGCCACAGATGAGATTAAAGGGAGACTCTATCTGCTGTATAGTGTTTAAAATGTCGCTAAGGTGCTAATACTGAAACTAATTATCTTTATTATTGTAAACATTAAATTAATCTAACTGTCTTGTATTTATTACGTCTCTTTCTATTTTATTGTTTTAACGTTATGGTGAAAAGAGACAGATGTAGTGCAAACGGTGTATTGCACTGAATTTATTTTATTCTGAATAAGCAAGGACATAAACTGATTGCAAAAGGCATGTAGTAGAAATAGGTACAGAGGATAGGAAAAGTGAGTAAAGTAGCAAGGTAAAAACTTCATTTTGGTCTTGACTGTACATGAATAATCAAAAATAGGAATTTGCCGAATTAATAATCAAAAAAAGAATTGTTTAAGAATATTTAAAAAAAAACTCTACATCAATATAATTAAGTAATTTATCCCTGGGTTTATTTTTCAGAGGCCTCAACAGTTATGCTGGAACAAGATCCCGACATCAAGCAAAAGATTAAGGATGACCTGGAGAAGAATTACTACCCCGTGGCCTTGAAGAAACTTGACGAAATCATTGGCAAGAACAACGGACATATTGCCAATGGAAAGGTTGGTGGGATAAACAGAGATCTAAGTAGAGTAGAAGCTAATTGTATATATGTATAAAATAATACATAATAATATTATTTTAAGAATTTAAAGATAATCAAAAACCTAAACATTACACAGAAACATTGCATAATCTTGTAAAATGGTCTGATGCTAAGTACATAATTTGTACTGTACAAAAGCAACACTGGACTGAGTAATTTTACTCCTATATATAGGAGTAAAATTACTCAGTAATTATACCTATACTAGGACCTATACACACACATATATATAAACAATTAGTATTCTTAGACCAATTACGTCCTTTGTATTTTTTTATATAAACAAGCTGTTTTACATAAATCGTATTTCTAAACTGTTTGATAAATAACAGGAATAATATTTTATATACATTTTTAAAACGTAAATGATGTATTCAGTGCAGTTACTAAATGTATTTCGTCAGAGTTCCAAAAACTAAAACAATAAAATGGAAATCTTATAAAATAAAATTTTCACCAAGGTCACATGACAAAACTTAATTAATTAGAAGATATAATTTCCATAATATTCCAGAATAACCGCAAATACATAGTAATTTGTTTATGATGTTTTTTAATTTAAGTTTCGGGCCTTTAAAATGTACTGTTAATTGAAATTCCGAATTTTTTGAAGTAGATTTTCTAATAGGATTATTTTTTAATATCACGCATTCAATTCGTATATCTTTTCCCTTTTTAATGAGAAAATAAATTATTAAAAAAATATATTTGAACTCCAAAACCCAAAACCAATTTTTTTTTTCTTTTTATTGGAATAAATTGCTAGTAATTTTAAGTATACTAGAAGTTGCATAGTTTTCATTTACCATAAACAATGCTTGTTTTCTTTACAGTTGAGTTGGGGTGACTTCGTAATCGCCGGCGTATATGATGCGATGAAGAACTTGCTCCTGCAAATGCCGGACTTGGACGAAAAGTATCCAAATCTAACAAAATTGAGGGAAAACGTTGTGTCTTTACCTAAAGTCAAGGAATACGTTGCGTCTGCGCCTAAGACAGATATTTAATTTTAGATTAAACAAGGCATAGAAAAGCAAACGATTATCTTATTATTTTTGTTGCTAATCTTAAACATTTCGTTTTTTTTAAACTAATAAACGAATCGGCGACATTTTATTTTTTTTAAACTTTTCGGACGCTTTCTCTATGTCTCATTAAAAATTTTAGTCTGAGCAATGTGTGTTGCAAGTATTATATGAAATTTTGTCACGATCACAAATTATATATACTGCTCAAAACAATTAGCGGAACAAGATTTTTCTCCTTTCTATTGCTTAAACTAAAATTAGATTTAAATTAACTTGTACGCTATTTTTTACCTTGTTTATTTGTTAATTACTACAATTAATAAAAAAATTCAATTTGTATTTTTTTTATTAAAAAAAAATTAAAATGTGCATTGTAGACGAAAAACTAATTGGTGATAAAAAAGGTCCATCAAAGAAATATTCTTATATCGTTTGAATATTCGTCTTTAGTGACTTTCAGTAACGTGTGTGGCCTCCATGAGCCCTAATCACGGCTTGACAACGACGCGGCATGCTTCGTATGATCCTCCGAATATCTTCTTGTGGAATTCGCTCCCATTCTTCAATCAACGCTTCAGTGAGCTGCTGCAGTGTTTGAGGTGCAATCGGACGCTTCCGGATGCGCCTGTCAAGCAAGTCCCAAATGTGTTCAATTGGATTTAGGTCAGGGCTCATGGAAGGCCACTCCATTACACGGATTTCCTGCTGTCGTAAGTAATCTGACGTGATGGCTGCAGTATGCGGCCTGGCATTATCTTGCATTAAAAGAAAATCTGGGCCCATACCATATGCTGCGGGCCAAACATGATCTTCGAGCACATTTTCAATGTAAGTTTGAGCACACAAGCGCCCGGGAACAACGATGAGATCTGTGCGCTCGTCCAAACTAACTCCGCCCCAAACCATCACAGAGACACATCCAAATTTGTCATATTCCTGCACTGCTGCTGCACTGTATCGCTCGCCTGGGCGTCTGTAAGCACGGAGACGACCATCGCAACGTGTTAGACGGAATCGTGATTCGTCAGTAAAAAGCACTGGCCTCCAATGTCGAAGTTGCCAATTAGCGTGATTTTGCGCGAACTGTCGGCGAGCTTGTCTATGTTGAATTGTTAGACGCACAGCCCGAACTGGTCGGCGTGATCTCAAATTGGCTTCCAACAACCTATTTCTTACCGTCTGGTCGGAAATTTCTACACCAGTAGCCGTCCTTAGTGTATTTTGTAGATCTCTTGCAGTTGTGGTGCGGTTACGTAAAGCACAGTTGACGATGTAGCGATCTTGCAAACGTGTAGTTTTTCTCTTTCTACCTTGACCACGCCTTCGTGAGTATTCTCCCGTCTCACGGTATCGCTTCCAAAGTCTGTAGATAACAGAAGGGGCTACTCCTAGATCATTTCCTACATAACGCATAGTTCGACCCTCTTCAAGCAAAGCGATAGCTCGGGAGACATGCAATTCAGTCAGATCTGGCATTATGACCTAAACTCACTCGCTTCAATGAATAACAATACTCAAAAGGCTCACTTCAATTTCTATTAATACTCAAAAGATTGAAAAAAACTACTTAAAATGTGTTTTCTGTGATTAGAAAGTAATGAAAATTCAAAGACGTCACTTTGTTTTTCGTCTACAATGCACATTTTAATTTTTTTTTAATAAAAAAAATACAAATTGATTTTTTTTATTAATTGTAGTAATTAACAAATTAACAAGGTAAAAAATAGCGTACAAGTTAATTTAAATCTAATTTTAGTTTAAGCAATAGAAAGGAGAAAAATCTTGTTCCGCTAATTGTTTTGAGCAGTATATCTTGAGTATAGATTATAACTATGTATCACGATTGAAAAGTGATTTTAATTGTAAGCACAGTATTACTTATTTCATACATTTTGCAGATAATATATTATAATGATGTAGGATTTAAAAACATTGAGATTTTAACAAGATCAAGTATGTAGTATATCTTCAAGTATTTTATGTATAATATATTTTATTAAAACACGATTTTTTAATTTTATTGTTTTTTTTTATCTGAATAAAATTGATACACTCGTCTAAAGGTACGAAATATGATTCGAGCATCACAGTTCGATTGCTGAACAGATAACATAGAAATTTGTCTGTTAATCAATAAAAAAACCATTTGCTTATAGCTTGAACATTATAAATTATATATAAAAAAATGTGTTTATTTATCAATTGTTCATTTTTTTAAACTGTTTACAACAAAAATAACAGATTTGGTAACACTCAAACAGTACAAATTGGCCGCTCACATTGACAGATGACAGATGGATCAAAAAGATCCTTATTTGAAATGGCCCAGTGGGAAAAAAGAAGAGGACTCCCACCAAAAACCTGGGAAGTTGAAGTATAAGAGATAGCGGGAGATTTGAATTCAGTGGCGCTACCACCTCTTGGTGTGGGCCTCAGATTTCTGCATCTGTTTCATGATGATTTTTCAATCTAATAGGCCTCGAAGGCCTGGCACACGCCGTCGACTTTTTTTTTGGCTCTATCACATGTCGGTTTAGTCACCACACATGATGTTTTCCTTCATCAAATGCTGTTAAATGCGCACATAGAAAGAAAGTCCATTGGTGCACAGCCGGGGATCGAACCTACGACCTCAGGGATAAGAGTCGCACGCTGAAGCCACTAGGCTAACACTGCTCAAAATATAACAATAACATAAACTTAATGTAATCCTAATTATAGAACTCCAATAAAAGCCTTTTTTAGTTCTTGCTTTCGATGTGCGCATTTAGTAGCGCGTACAGTGAAGAGCATGATGAGGAAACCGGCTTGCAATTAGCCGGCGTGTGTCAGGCACAGTAGCCTACTTGCCTCTTAGAGAAAATTATAAGATACAGTTTGCCAAGAACTAGGTTGGTAGACCAGGGTTGTAGGCTGTAGCGCCACCGGTATTTTTTATGCTTCAATATATTTTTATGAAAAAATATTCCCTCACTTTTACACCATTACACAAAACACCCAATTTAGGTATTACTTAGTTAAATGTATTGGATAATTTTTATTGTTTTTTCCTTTTTGCAAATCTTTGAACCTTTTTGTAAATATGTATTCCATCTTTGGCCATATTTTTAGTGTAAACGTTTGTTATTATATATAATTGTTGTTAGCTGTAGGATTACGAAATAAGTAAATACATAAATAAAAGTATTACAGCGCGCTTATATACCCTCAGAGTTTAGAATCGCATAGCTATCTTCGCGTAAATATAATTATATATAAATAAATTAAAAAAAAAAATTCAAAAATACATGACTTAATTTTATTTTTCTGATAACTGGTGTGGCATTACCTATGAGAAAATTTCGACTTGACGTCGACTTTTGGGACACCCTGTATATATATATATAAATGTTATGTTGGTTTGTGTACGCTTCAAAAAGTTCTGCACCGATCGAGCTGAAATTTTAGCATGATATATAATCCGCATCAAGGATTGTCTATTTTTGCATCAGTCACATATCCGCGACCGCGAAAAAACAGTTCTTTTAACCGTGTGTACCAGTGACAGCGCTATCTGCCGGAAACGAGTAAAACACTCGCCGACAACCGCATTGCATGATAAATATACAAGTATCGATTATTGTCGGATCGGATATAGTGGAGAAGCGCAATCCGGCCTTCCGATATTTTTCTAATGACTCATTCCGGTATCCGACGCCGGACTGGAGCAGTGGAGAAAGGGCCTAACGGCGCAGTCACATGAGAAACAATATTCGTTCCCAATTACATTGTTTATTTACAAAAAAATTTGCATATGATTCTGATTATTCTACAATCATATAAATGTACCACAGCGTGGCAGGGTACAGCTAGTATAAAATAAATTTACATCTCAGCTAAATAAATAAAGAGAATATAAACAATCAGTGCTAATGGAGCTTAGTAAATAATTTCTCGTGATTTTCTTTATTTTATAAAACAACACAATGTGTATAAATGTCGCGCATTATATTACGTTTCTATCATATAAGTGGAACCGTTGATAAAGCTAGCAGTAATGGCGTTAAAATTCGGTTTTATTGTCATTTTATTACTAAGCCTATACTTCGTCGCAGTGCTTTCTGAAGACGTGAAAAATTTGGTAAAGCGCGCTCTATTGGATGAAGATGATGACAATTACAAGCCTGGATATGAAAATGCGTTTTCTGGGCCTCACAGAATAAGGATATTGCCCGGATATCTTCATTAGTTATTGGTACGTTTGTTGAACAGCAAAATATGTTTTTATATTAATTAAAGTTAAATAAAGTCTTACGCAATAAATCTTTATAACTATTAATGGTGGCTACCAAAAAAACGCACTTTCCTCGCCCAACACTTTTTCACTTTTTTTTTTTTTTTTTTTTTTTTTCATTTCACCCTATATGGCGATTCGACTGCGGGACTTCGCCCAATCGTACAGCTAGGTGAAGTTAGATCGACTATAACTGTCCGCTGCCAAGACCATTAATTTGAATTTTTGTATCTACGCCATTACAATTCACATAGTATTAGAAGCTAGAATCTGAATTGACAAAATATTCAAAATGGTTTGTCAGTTACTTTAAAGCACCCTCGATTCAGCGACAATAAAATTATTTATCATAGATATACAAAAGAATTTAGGGAAAATTACAAGATTTTTTTTACACAATTTAAACATTCATATGTAATAATATCCTTAAATTATATTGGACTCTAAATTAATGAAGGCGAATATACTTTATGTATATCTTTTAAGCCACCGAACTCATGGTTTGGTTATGTTACATTTTATTGTATTGTATAAAAAAAATTTGAACACACATTGTCGTCTTTTATTATCATTACCAATTGGAAAGGGACAGGTCACTGGCGGGAAACACAAGATTGTAAATAAGTGCAAACCAATTATGTTCACTAAATTCGTTCTCTATGTCTATGATATTTTGTCATGAAATTTAATGACATATAACTAAGTACTTGTATTAAGTACGTTTAAACTTAGGTAAACAATGTCAATTATAATTAACCTTAAACATACATTTGGCACATTGAGAATTCACTTTGGATCATTAATATATAACTTATAATGTATAGCCTAAGGATTACTGTAAAAATTGGCAATTATTTTTTAAAGAAAACCTGGTGGTTCGGCCATATTACGACTATGTACTATCTATGATACGTTGCCGTCTTTAGGTGCCCGCTTTTTTATATACTCATTATAAACATATAACGTGTATACATACTTCAATTTTAAATACTGAAAGCACTGTATCACTATCATAAATACATTTTCACTCTTCCTTCTAGAAAAAATTAATAATGATCTTTTTTCAGGCCATATTGACAGTTTTAACATCTCTCAGAATGATAACAAGAAAGGTAGCCAAGGTGTACAGTAATCACAAAGTTTGGATTAAATTACGTTGGTAAAACATTTGAATCTTGTCTTAAATTTAATACTAAAATCTGTTAAGAGTACTGATTTCTTGCAGTAGAATGGTACCAAGTAATATATTCTTAATGAGAATAAATCGTATGGAGCTCCTAAATCAGAACACCCTGACAAACAAAAGAGTCAAATGTTTTACCAGATTATAAAAAGAAAATCTTACAAACTAGCGAAAATCTATAAATTATAACTAAAATATATATAATAAATCTGGTTATAATTTGTTAATTTAAATCCAATATACATAAAATCACTTCACTTAACTAAATGATTAAATTGTTGGAAGGATATTAATGGAATTAATCGTCGATATATACATACAACAAATTAGTAAGTATCTGCCTTGGAGTTATCTTTCGAAATATACATTTTAAAATATAACATTTACTTAACATCTACGAAATCTCATATACTTTAGAGCGTGGGTTACATTGAGGCTATTGTTTGAGATGTCATTTCATCTATGTGTCGCGTTTCTGTATGTGTGACTGAGTGAGTGACGTCAAACATCTGATGACATAATGAGATATATTAAACGTTTCACGAGTCTAATATAATGTTTTCATGAAATGATCATTTAAATATGCTTATGTAATTAAGCAGCACGCTTGCCGTACAATAATCTTCCATTAGTTATCTATTCCTTAGCTTGTGGTAATTCCTATACAGATATATGGTAAGAGATTTTGATAATCACTTGCAAACTCATTTCACCCACCTCTGCGACTTCACCCGGGTGCTAGTGGCCCGGGTGAAGTGAGTTTAAGCCGATATTTCTTCGAATTTCATTATATAATCAATTTGTATAGCTAGTAGATTATCAAAATGGTCATACAAATTCTCAACAATATTTAAATGTAACCCACGCTTGGGCCATGATGTGAGAACGCGATTATTGTGTTTTCCAAAATAGATAACATTTTAGTTGAACATATTTTAATTAAAAATTATATGAACAAAACACGAAATCAAAACTAAATTGTTTATGATCCTTATTTAAGCATTCTCATTCCAAAACCCACCTTAAAACCTAATATAAAAACTTAATTTTAAACTGTTTAGTATTTTATGATTTGAAGAATTCTTATGTTTTAATTACTTTTTTCTTAAATAGATTTTATTTAAAAACTTTGGCTCCGCATTTTGGTAAATAAAGAATATCTTTGGATTGAGAAAAATATAATCTGTGCAATCATTGTAAGTAGATAAAAAATCTGTGTTTACTGTCTTTGGTACCAAAGGCAAAGAGGTGTGTAAATAATATATCTACGTGTTTCAATGATAATTTTGTAAGGAAAGTAGATGTTATTTTAAACCTAAAACACTTATTGTTCCACTGGGACTTAGGAACCTAGGGTTAGACATTACGTAACCCGAAGCCTAGCAAACGAACAAAATTAAATCATGATAACGCACTTATAAATGTTAACAAATTTATATAAACGACGCAATTACATAGTAATTTGTATAACGATACTTTTGTGAATCTCTAATCTTCCCGTCGACAATAGTATCCATTTGTGAATCCCTAATCTTCCCGTCGACAATAGTATCCATTTGTGAATCTCTAATATTCCCGTCGACAATAGTATCCATTTGTGAATCTCCAATCTTCCCGTCGACAATAGTATCCATTTGTGAATCTCTAATCTTCCCGTCGATAATAGTATCCATTTTTGAATCTCTAATATTCCCGTCGACAATAGTATCCGAGTGAACGACACTTCTGGCAGAGATGCTGGGGGTGGATCTTCGACTGGTCGCTGACATCAAGACCGTCCGGCTTTTCGAGGGGCCTCTGAAATATCTTCAAATTGTTATTTACACATTAATTACACAAAAATACTTTTGTCTAGTGATTTTTACCCTACTGTGTACCGAATAATATAAGAAATGTAATAATTTCGCGTTTATTCGATTCTACTCGTTAATCAACTATGATAAATATTTTAGTTAAATTAAATCGTTGTAAAATTGTGATAAATTAATCGTAAGGAAATATCCTTGTCTAATATTTGGCGTGACAGACAGTCCCTAATGTAGAGGCTGTTACAACGCAGAGGCATCAGCTTCCCAACGACACCAGAAATCTTCGGAGCAGTGAGGTCCTGGTCGTAAAGCCTGCGAAGTTAACTTCTGAGCTTTTGGAAGGAGCTAGGTTGGCTTAATTCGCCAGCAGTTTACGCAGGACGGACCAAATGGGCACGCGGAAACTGAGGCCGCACTAACTTCTTCTTTTTGCGCAACTAATACTTGTTGGTACGATCAGAAAAAGGTTGCGTAAAGCATGATTTCGAAGCAAAGCTCAGGGTGTAAGACACAGCTGGAAAAAATGCTCAAAAGATAGATGGCAATCCTTAGTTCTGCCTCAGTCGTATCAAAACCATTACCTGCTTATGAGGAAAAACATTGATACGACACTTGATGCACTCTTGGCCGTTATTTGCCCACGAGTTTCCGCTCATCCACTTCCGCTTGCATTTCGGGCACTTGTACTCGCCGAAGCACCGCTTTTTGCCCTGGTATGGCGTCAGACCTTCGCCTTTGGGACGGGCCTGGAAAAAGATACAATTTATTAAAAAGGTGTCAATTTAAGATGGAACAAGGAGAAGGGAATATGAGTCGAGATTCCCAAGAAAAGGCAAAGGTATCCCTCTGGTACTCCAGTGACGGCATGCGTAGTCCTCGCGTCCTCTAGGACGGAAACAAGGGGGAAGGCAGCATTAAGTTAACTGCTGGTCACCACTTGAGAGGAGCATGTAAAAGAAGGCACTAGAAAATGTTAGAGGAAGTCCCATGAGGAACACGAATCCACCAGAGATTTTATAATATACTAGCAGACTCGGCCAAGCTTTGCTGTGGCTTAGGTTTTTTAAGGTTCTATATTACATAGTGGTAAACTAATCAAGGGAAACGGTAGGAGAACATCAGTCATGGGGACCACCATCCTTTTTGGTTGCTATGCCATTAAATTGTAGCTTAACAGTTTACTTTCAACACAGCACCATCTGTTAGAATTGTGACTATCAAATAATAAACAAATATTTTGCAATAAAATAATATTGCGGGTATAAATTGAGATGTAAGCTATCATATCTTTTAAGTAGGATCAAACTACACACGGTGTGCAAATTTGATTGATATCGGTTCGGTAGCTTAGGAATCCATAGCGGACAAACAACGTGACACGTAATTTATATAAATTAAGATAATGCGGTGTTTTAATACCTATATATGGTATAATAATAAAATAAAACCTCATTAACACCACAAAAAATATCACATAAGATAAAAAAAAAACTAGGTTTAACTTTAACTTTTACTGCTAGAAGCATTTTCTTTCAGACGTAAATAATTGAAAAATAAAACAACATTAAACTACTTTATACATGCACAGAGTAATAAACAACAAAGCTTTGTTCTAAGTTGAATTTGTAATAGTGATAATAAAAATATTTAATAAACACTTAAAACTCACGTAATAGGAACAAAGAGCCCTTGTCTTAACACTTGACAGATTTATTTTGAGAACCATACTTCAATAGGATTTATGATCACAACACTCAAAACTGTTTCGTCATGAGACTTTCGGAGCAAAAAATATAAGCCTGTATGCAGTACGTAAATATAGGTTTAATTCGACACAATATGAGTACATGGAGTGTTCGCGCTTAGACAGAAAATTGCGCGTGGAAAATCCTTTAGATTCAGAGTCAGTTATTTAACTCGCCTTTGTCAAAGTCCACTACGCTTTTGACATACGGAAGTAATAGCTTTGGGATTAAGTGTCTACTCCGAATCTTATCAGAAGAACATATATTCCTATACAGAGCAGTGACCTCTTACAGGATATTAAAATTGTCGTCCCATACTCATTTCCAGGGCTAAAATCAGCAATATATTCCAAATTCCTTCTCCAAAAACCAACCTAGGAGTTCAGGCACCTCTCGTTCGAATTCTTCGCGATTTTAACGGATTGAATGATGCTTATCCGGAGCTGGATATATTCAGTAGTGGGCTGATCGGTTTTAGAGAAAGCATTGTTGGGTGCCTATCTCGAACCCAATTCGCTGTTTTGCTGATGATTTTTTTTTGCTATTCCAAAAAATTCTGGTAACTTATTTTGTCTTGTATATTAATTTATTTTAATTGTATTTTTTAATATTTTTCAATATTTTTTTTGTAACACTTATGTTTACTTAAATTGTCATACATGTTAGATGGAAGATTTTGTAAAGTATGCCGTAGATTTAGTTTATGTATGATGTGGTAAACTTTAATAAATAAATAAATAAAATAAAGATAACCTAGCTCGCTAGTGGCAATGTTGTTTTGTCAACAACGTTGTTTTGTTTTGCATTAAGCCTTTTGCATAAGTATAAGGCCAAACTCCAGAAACATTCTCCTATGTTGAATAAAATACAGGGTCTGATTACTTATAAATTGTGATTGCTGACAAAAGACTATTGTATATTTTATCAAGACTACTAAGTAATGAAAGACTGCTATTTATTCATAAAACTTTATCATTCAGTAGGTACTTTGATTATTTCAATGTAATTATATAGCTTGTTTTAAATCATATGTTATTTTGGTTTTTAGAGCAGATTAGAGCAAGCGTCAGATTGGAAGTTCACTAGTCGTGTAGAACGTTAAGGCTGCTGCCTCGAATTTTGCGGGCAGCGGGGCGGCAGCGGCGGCGGCGCGGGAGCGGCAGGATCTTATGCGTAAAATCAAATGGACCGGGGGCCTTAGTCAAGATGCCTTAACAGTAGTGTATGTAGAAAGTCGAAAACTTAATTTGTATGGAAATGACAGTTCGTGTCGAAAAGTTTTCATACAAATTTAGTTTTTGACGTTCTACATACACTACTGTTAAAGCATCTTGACTAAGGCCCCTGTTCTCGAAAACAGCGGCGTGGCAGCGGCGCGAGGGCGGGTAACGAGAGGTGCAATCGCCCGCTCCCGCGCCGCAGCCGCCGCCGCCCCGCTGCCCGCAAAATTCGAGGCAGCAGCCTAACTGTTGTGTAAAAATGACTTCTAATTAATTTCTACTAAAAGACATTTACTTCCTTATTATTGGTAGAACTATAACAATTTTAGTGATCGTCCATTCTGACGTCTGCATGGTCACCTATCATAGAGTACTCAATATAAAGACTTATCAATTATTTCACAGTTCATATTTTACTTCTTCCTAAGTTTTCAAACCTCGATGCCGTACTCGATGCCGTACCTATTATAAAAATTCAAATATCGAACAATGTTACTACAATTCCCCCAGTATAAATATATAGGCACAAAAGATTAAAAATAAATTTATTTATATAAATAATGGTATAGGTAGTAACAGAACGCCTAGGTATGCGTACTTTAACAGTAAAAACTTTCACAAAGTAAAGAAATACCATTTTTACATTGAATACAAGAAATAATTTTTCATTTAAAATTATTTGCAAGTATTTTTATTAGTAAAACAAGTAAAACCGTACAAGTAAAACCGAACCAAATACTTTTTTCTTTCTTTTTATTGCCCTGTTGAAAACGGGGCAAACGGGCAGGAGGCTCATCTGATAATAAGTGATACGCCGCCTATGGACACCCTCAATGCCAGAGGGTTTGCGAGTACGTTGCCGGTCTTTTAAAAATTGTTAGGCTGCAGCTATTAATCCGAACAACTCCCAGAAATCGACTCCCGATGGAGAAGATCCATCCACGTCTCTACTCAACGCTAACAGATCAAGCCGCTTGGTTGGTCGTCGACGATTCGAACCGAGCGGTTACATGGTCAAGTGGAAATAACTGGTACTGGGGATTCCACCCAGCGGTGAGAACAGTACTCCATGTAGGGCCGAATTTGAGCTTAATACAGTTGCAACCGATGGCTCGAAGTAAAGTACCGCCTCGCCGTCACCAATTTTAAATTAGCATTTCCTTCCAAATTACCGCGTGAACGCCCTTCGATATGTCAACGCCCAGTACCCCGATGCTGGCTGGGGCTTTACGAAAAGTATCTTCGAAGAGAGGTGTGGTCTACGTACGTTGCCTCAAGATGGCTAATTTAGCTGGCGTTAATTCGCCCACATTATGGTGTTTAGTAATCAGATCACGACACATCAAAGGCCCAATCTAGTTTCTATCTTATCCTTTTTATATAATCAAAGCAATACATATATCGTTTATCAATTAAACACGAAATTAGCAGGCGAATTTCCGCGGTACCACGCACGGGCAATGAGCCAACATTATTTTATTTCTGTATATTTTCTATTCAGAGGAATTCCTAGAAAATGTCAAGATCATATATGATATCAGCCGATCAGTGCCTCGTTGTTTCACTGTTCTTTCATTGCGATATAGCATAGATTTACTCCAGTTTGATAAAATCGATGTACACGTGTATAATTAATCAAGAAATAATAAGTTAATTGCTATAATAATTATTATAATACACTGGCTGTACCCAGCCACGCTTCGCTGTGGCACATTGTGATTGAATGGTTGATAAATGAGAAACAAAACAAAGAATACATTTCATGTAAGTTTAAAAAAAAAAAAAAAAAATGATACAAAAATAGTTAAGAACAATCCTTGATGCGGATTATATATTATGCTAAATTCAGCTTGATCGGTGCAGAACTTTTTGAGTTTTTGAAGGGTACACAAACCAACATAACATTTATGTATATATATATATATATATACTAGTGGACCCCACAGACGTTGTCCTGCATGATATTTAAAGCGATTAGGATATTAAGCAAAGTATGAAAGTACCGACTGCAGTGCCATCTGCCGGGCTGATTTGTGAATCTAAACCATTCCCAGATCCCCTTGAACACACACAAAAAATTTCATCAAAATTGGTCCAGTCGTTTAGGAGGAGTTCAGTCACATACACACGCACACAAGAAATATATATATTAAGATATTAAACTAGCGTACAGCTGGTCATGTATTTTTTCGGAAATAATTTACGTTAGAATAGAAAGAATCTTTCGGAAATTTAAATCAGTCCGATAGTTTTGTTTATTTCTCACAAACAGTTTATTATTTATTTTATTTACAAATCATATATCCTTCTTTTTCTAAACTAATACGATAAACTGTAAGTCCCGTCTTGTTTCTAATTTTGTACCCCACCTAAGACAAATAATGTTGGGTACTTTAAGAGATAGTAAGCTTTCTCTATACATACTATATTATAGACTATATGGCATCTATATCACATATAGTGTGTAATATAAAAACGAGTAAACTTATTCTGTATGCGATCCAACATAAGAAAGTATTTAGTTTTATGCGGAGCCCAAACAGACGAGTTACACTCTAAAATACTTCTAACCAATGCGTTGTACAAGCTTGAGATGGATGTATGCTAGTAAACGTTTTTGCCTATTTCCACTATTTGATCCCGAAAACTCAGTTGGGAATCTACTAGCAATAATTACAGCTGAGTTTCATTATCGGACGTCAAGGCAAAATACAAAATACCATCCGTATCACCTCGACGTCCGTCGTTCCACAACTGAGCGTTTTCTAAGACAGTTTTTTCCGCACACCACCACTATGTGGAGCTGCCCACTGAATTATTTCCGAACCAATTCGTCTTAGGGTCCTTCAAGAAAAGAGCGTACTAATTCTTAAAAGGCCAGCAACGCACTTGCGAGCCTTCTGGCAGTGTGAGTGTCGGGAGCGGCGGTATCACTGAACATCAGATGAGGCTCCTGCCCGTTTATCTCCTATTACATAAACAAATCCAGGGCTCTTACTGAAGTTTCCTGTTTCATTATCACCCCTGACCCGTTTTATTTATGCTGATGAGGTAATTTACCCATACCCATCAAAATAAATGGTAAATACATTTTTATAGAACTGGAGAAAAAGAAACAAAACAGTTTTTTTTATTTTATTTTTTTATTATAAGGCAGAATAAGATTCGATCTGGAAAATCTCAGAGGTTTCCTTATATCAAACAAACAAATGCTTTATATTAGAACTTCAATTAACGAAGACATTAAATCAATACGCTAAATTTATTTACCTGTGGACAGTCCCCAATGTAGTGTCCTTTCTTGAAGCACAGATGGCACATGTAGGCCGGGGGCGGCGGCCTGGGCGGGCGGCGCAGTGACAGTGCGGCTAACTGTTCCGCTAGTGAGTTGCTGTCGTCTGTGGGCGGTTGGGTCGTCCCCGTGGCTGCTGTTGGGAGAGGACCCCATACTGATCCAGGAACCCACTGAAAGATTAAATTAAAAAATAAATAAAAATATAATTGGTAAAGTCTTTCGTTTGATTATATATTTATCGTTTATTAAAACCTATAAATATAACAATCAAATATAAAGTACATATTTACAATTTTTTTAACCTAATAGTAATAATAAAATTAATTAAAAATTAATAAAAATAAAATTAAAACAAATTTAAAAAGTTTGGTCCCTATGGCAGTGTACCTTTAACGCTGGCAGCATTTCCTCGCTGTTTTACGATACTTATTCGATGCGAGGAAAGCACCAGCTCTGGGGTCACCGGTACGAACTACCAGGCGTCAGCTGAAATCTTTAATTAGCACCTGTGTACTTGAACAAAAGGAACAAAATGGAAGTTGGAGGAAAGACTTATATTTGAGTCAATAATTTTTTTTGGGATTACAAATGACATTAAGAAACATCTTAAATATAGAAGATCTTGCTCTGGACGTTATAATTCCTTAATACTGGATTCCAAGTAAAAAATATTTTTTTCATATTGTTTACTATGTACATACATATATATAAACCTATGTTATCTCATCTCTTCGGCCGTGGGGTTGTAGTCCACACTGCACAGGCGCTAATTAAATATTTCAGTTGGCGCCTGGTAGATAGTACCAGGGAACCAGAGCTGGTGCTTTCCTCGCTCAACGAATAAGTATCGCAATACAGCAAGGAAACGCTAGCATCAAAGGTCATACTGCCACAGGGACCAAACTTTTTAAATTTGTTTAAATTTTCTTTTGATTAATTTTTAATAATTTTTATTATTACTTTGTTGGTTAAGTAATGTGTAAATACTGTATATTTGATTGTTATAATTACTAATATCCCAATTAATAATTTAAATGGTTATTTATTAAACAGCACTACGCTTTGTTTGTTATTGTCTAGTAGGTACGGTAGACACTGAAGCTTTTGAAACTTATGATTCTTGAATTCCTATGAAATCGCTTAGTTACTAAGAAATGTGTTAATAAATCTCCGGTTACGCAGAGATGTCAGCATCCGCTTGAATGGCGCCACCTGTGATATCTTACACCCGCTCGGATTCTTCGTATCAAATACATTAATGCTCATTTCTGACAGTCATCAGGAAGCCGAAAGATAAAAGCGCAAATTAAAATGACTAAGTACTACCTATTTCAAACTCAAACTCAAAAAAACTTAATTCATATAGGTAACCAAGTACACTTACGAACGTCAACAGAAAAGATTTTAAATTGATTCTAAATTTACATTTACTACTAGTTCGCAAGTCAAGGAGGGCAAGAAGAACTGCCCTGCGATTCTGTAACTCACTTTTTGAACTCACACAGCGGTTTTCGCATCGGCGGTCGCTCTCAAATCAGTCGTGACTCGTGAAGCAGTCATTTTATGATTTGGCATTCTGAAAAGGTGGGAGCTTGTAGTTTATTGTTTATCAGAATGCCAAATCATAAAATCACTGCTCAGTTACAGAATCGCAGGGCTGACAAGAAACTCTTCCCCGCTCTTTTTAATCGCAAAGTTCTGAGTCATACAAATTGTTTCAACCGGAGCAAATCAATCCCAAGGATTAGGATCATTTAAATATTTAAGGAAAGAATATGTCTCATAATGATGGAGAACGGTATTTTATTTTATTTTTGCTCTCAAACATCAGACATGTTAAAATGAGGACAATCAGATACTAATGAAAATATGTTATAGAAAGGATACACACGTGTGAACATGAGAACTTAAGTACGCAGCGCTAACTAGATCCATGCAACTTCCTCCAAATCAAGCCACCCGCAATGTCGCAGCACAACTCACGAGGGGACTCTTTGTTTTGAAGAAGTCGCATGGGTCCGCCAAGCGTCGGATATACACCATAAATACATAATTATATAGAAATAAAGAAAATATTAATAATTTCTAAAACGACTCAGCGAAAGGTCTCTATGGAGTTGCTGAAAATATCCACCGGGTAAGTTTTCATCAGCTTTATTGTAAATTCGACACAATCTGTTAACAGAACCAATAAACGATGAGCACAAACGTGCGATGTTTGTTTCTAGTCAACCGTGTATTGAAATGGATAGGGATTTTAGCAAGCTATTCCGTATATGAGCAGTGTTGGGGTCCGATCCCCGGCTGTGCACCATTGGATTTTCTATGTGCGCATTAAACATTCGCTCGAACGGTGAAGGAAACAATCGTGAGGCAACCGGCTTGCCTTACACCTGAAAGTTGACGGCGTGTGTCTGACAGGAAGCTGATAATTGGCAAATAATCACGAAACATATACAGAAAGCTGAGGCCCAGACCTGAAAAGGCTGTAGCGCCACTGATTTATTTTTTTATTCTGTATGAATATCCCTATGTATTAGGTCCTTACATATGAAATTGGAATTATTTCGTACTGGCCACTTTAATCACGATGTTCTCCTCTTTGGTAAGGAATTCCAAATTCAAATTTGTACAGCTATTTACTCATGTATTTGTGCTTCGATGACCGTCATTCATTTGTTTTTTTCTGTTTGCGTCACTCATTTTACAAAATGGAAAACTTAAAGTATCGCATTATTTACGAGTACGAGTTCCGCCGTGGCACTAGTGCTGCGGAAACGACTCGAATAGTGAATGATGTGTATGGCGGTCATGTTGCAAAAGAAAACACAGTTAGTTTTTGGTTCCAACGTTTTCGTTCTGGAAATTTCGACAGAACAAGCCCCGTGGACTTTTTGTTCCTCCCATACAAAACGCCAATTTCATATGTAAGGACCTAATCTTGAAAAGATACACTACATCCATTCCATTTTATCGAAATGTTATATGAATTATGTATCAGAAAACAACCTTAGTTTACTACGGAATGACACACCATACACTATTTTATTATTATCCAAAGATACTTATATTACATTGAACTATTTTGTTTAATTTAATAACATTGAATAATTTTTTAATTTTGTCTTTTTTATTTGAATGGAATCTCGGTGTTGGCCTTAAGGGCCTTTACAGCTCAAGGCCTTCAAAATTTTTTTAATGGAATAACATAGACACGAGTATTGGCGGTAGTCGCCAGGTTTGTCACTAGCCCGCAGCACCATCCTAGACTTTAGACAATAACTTGCGTATTACAATGGTAAGTGTTTTGTAGAAATCTGTTTTCCAATTTTAAAAACATACATACATTATTATAATAATTGTAAATAAATATAATTCCGGGTGATAGACGAATTGTTTTATATTTTAGGAACTAAGTTTGATTCCTAGCGGAACAATACTTGTTTTCGGATAAAGTCAAAGTCAAATCATTTATTTCAATTAGACCATCTAAAATGGCACTTTTGAACGTCAAAAAAAATACAAAGAAGATTCTAGTTGCCCCTTCCAAAAGGTAGTTTCGTGTGGAGAAGAATGGGCAAGAAACTCCACACTTACTCTTTTTAAAATAGGTTTACAATATTTTGTTACATTTGTTAAATAATTATATGTGAAGACAATGTACTCTTAGGATAAACTACTATACTAAAAAAGTTAGTATACATGTTCCTCACATATTTACAAATATCGAAACCGTAGAATATTAACATTAAAGAGTAATAAAAATATTAAAAAAACACAACAAAACAGTGTGTGAGATACAATAAAATAATTACATTTGTAGCATTATAAATTAAAAAAAAAGAAATAACAAAAATATGTTAAAGCAAAAAATCAGCAACCAATTTGATTTTGTCCAGGCTCTATGATTGTCCTATGGAGCAGGACCAGCATGTTTCCAAGCATTCTTATCTTGAATATAATCATCTAATTTGTAATATGCTTGTTTACAAAGTGTACTTTTAATAAAACATTTAAATTTTCGTTCATTTAGTTTTAAAATGTCACCAGGTATTTTATTGTAACATTTCACACAGTACCCCATAAATGAATTTTGAACTTTGGCTAATCGGAAAGATGGTTGAGCTATTTTATCTTTATTTCTAGTACTAAAATTATGTCTTTCATTTATTTTACTAAAAAGATGTAGATTCTTTCTTACATACATAATATTTTCATAAATGAATTGGCAAGGTACTGTCATAATATTAATCTTTTTAAATAGTTCCCTGAGAGATTCGCAACGACGTAGATTATAAATGGCTCTGACCGCTCTCTTTTGCAAAATAAAAATGGATTCTATGTCAGCAGCCCGACCCCACAGTAAAATGCCGTAAGACATTATGCTGTGAAAGTAGCTAAAATAGACCAAACGACACTAGACATAAACACTTTAAAACTTTGAAAATTTTTAAAACTTTGCCCATAAATAGTTTGGATGCACAAGATGTATGAAACAGAAGTTAACGATTATGATTGGACAAACCGATTACCGAGAGACGCCTGCGCATATGTTTAAGGAATTAACGGCGATGCGTTCCAATTTTAAATGCGATCGTTGACGCTCCGTGTTCGAAATTTGAGTTTTGTAATTTCCGGATATATCGTTTGATGTTTAATTAATTGTTTTTATTGGGTATGTTCTGGTTGTTTTCACCACATTACTAACAGTTAGCGTTTTATTTAGACGAATACAAAAAGTATATATATATTTTAAAAACTATTGTTTTTTCTATGATTATTATCATTTGTTTTAATATACTTAAAGTAAAAAGTATTAAATACGTGTATATTGCCATGTCTTTCTTACGGTAATCAATTATGGATATGTGACTCGAACACAAACAGAAAAATAACAACTTGTCAACGCGGAATGGAACGTAGTGTACTCAATTTAAAATTAAAGGACAATATAATATATACGTATTTCGTGTGTGCCTTTTTCGAGAGGTAAGTATTCGTATGTACGAATGTTACGGCGGTTGATGACGCCGTACGTTACCTTCAGGCACTGGAGTACTGGCGGATTGTTTTTCTTTCCATCAATTTCAATGTTTTTATATGGCCAGTATCATTGCTTGGAGAAAAAACTTTTATGTCAATATTACAAATTATTTTTGAAGTGAAACTTCTTTATCGGGGTTGGAAAAAATTTAGTGTAACATTTTTGCGTTACGCGTCACATTTTTCCGTTACGCGCCATGTTGCTTTTTGAAGTCAAACTTCTTTATCGGCGGTAAAATATGACATATAGTATGTTTTTGACTTTGAAGTTTGACAACGGATTACATTTTCGAAGTCAAACTTCTTTATCGGCGTTAAAATATGACATATAGTATGCTTTTGACTTTGAAGTTTGACAACGGATTACATTTTCGACTTGAAATTTGCTAATCGCAATTTGCAGCAATTAATTTGTAAATTGTATGCTAGGCAGTGTATCAAAATTGACTGTGTTTAAAGAAGTACCTAGTTTCTAATAAGGTCATAAAGAAGTTTCACTTCTTACGTGTGTACACCTAGTACACGCACAAATTATTTTTCATACTTTCTAACGGCCACAACGACTGTCTAGTCTGTAACGCAGGTTTTTTTTTATGTAATAGGAGGCAAAGGGGCAGAAGGGTCACCCGATGTTAAGTGATATCACTTAACATCGGGTGGACACTCACATGGACATGGACACTCACAATGCCAGAAGGCTTGCAAGTGCGTTGCCGGCCGTTCAAGAAATGGAACGCTCTTTTCTTGAAGGACCCTAAGTCGAATTGGTTAGGAAATACTTCATAGGGCAGCTGTTCAGCATTTAACTGCTAATATTTCCATGAATCATGGTACATGGTCTTCATATATAATTATCAAATCAACGTATACAAAATATTGTAAAAACTACTTTAAAAGAGTAAGTATGGATTCTTGGCTATTCTTCTCCATATGAAACTTACTTTTGGAAGTGACTAGTCTTTTTTTTTAAATATTATTTACCTAATTTTGATAATTATAAAGTGCCCTTTTAAAGGCCTAATTGAAATAAATGATTTGACTTGACTTGAGTAAAAAAATTCGCGTACTCATTTAACTTTATTTATATATTTCGCACTTAATTATTATATCTTAACAATTACTACTAATACAATATCTACACCGATAATTCTAGAATTAAAATGTATTAAAAATATATACGATTGACCACCCCGTGACGGCCCAAGCCGAGGTCCGAGTCTCTGAAGAGACGCCCTTGCGCTAGTCGCGGGAAAAGGCCCGGCCAAGCTACGCTCGCCAAAACAGCCCGAGCTTAGCTGTTAAGCGAGTTTCCATTAAAAAAAAAGAGTATATATTCTGTACTCGCTCTAACATGAACTTGCGATTACAAGTAAACATACGCTTAGAGGAAGTAAACGACCTACCTGTTCTCATCTAAATATAACCCACCTACTTCTAAACATGTGGAGTTGCATATGTTCACTTGTTGCTTCGGTTTAGGAGGTAATTGACCTATGTACTAGAATAGTTTCATACATTGCTGTTATAGCAATAATGCGCTGTGCGGATGGCATTAACATTTCCGTGGTAACAAAGTAGCCATAATTCATTACTTTTTTATAGATAAGGTCAACCCGTCGCATATGGACACTCTAAATGCCAGAGGGTTCTGAAATGCGGGCTTTTTAAGAATTGGTGCGCCTTTTGAAGGACTCTAAGGCGAATTGGTTTGGAAATATGTATTTCAGTGGGCTGCTGGTTCCATATATAGTGCGCAGATAAACTGCCTTAAAAACGCTCAGTTGTGGAACGACGGAAATTGGGCGCTGTAACGCCTATTTGTGGGTTCATCGTCATGAATCACCCATCAGGGTGATAAAACAAAGGCTTTAGTAGAGTTACAAATAGCTTATCAGATTTAGTATAAGTTGAACATTAAACAGCCATTAGGCCAGGCTTCGGCGTGCGACTCTCATCAGTGATTGGTAGGCGTGTACAGTATTTTCATACATACCGAACGGTACAACACCGCTAGCGAAATATAACTTCAATAATTATGTTTAAAGAACTTTATTTCTCATTACAAAAAGAATGTATTTTATTTACATGAGAAACTTAATATTTATATACGAACGAGATACACGTCGCCATCAGCCGTCCCAATTTTAGTCTACTAGGTTCATTCTGATGTTTCTTTAATGCTCTTTTGGATTGGTTAAACGCGCTTATACCTATTACGATTTTGTTTAAGCTATGCATACAAAATAACAAAATAATCAGTGGCGCTTCAACCTTTTTAGGTCTGGGCCTCAGATTTATGTATCTGTTTCATGATCATTTGTCTTTAGGCAAGTAGATCAGCCTGTATCTGAAACACATTTGTGGCCAGTTTCCTCACGATGTTTTCTCTATTCGAGCGGATGTTAAATGCATAGAACCTTCGACATAAGGGATGAGAGTCGCACGCTGAAGCCACTAGGCCAACACTGCTCGGAACCCAAGCATCGTAAATAAAATGCCGACAAGTAGGGTACGTACGAAGTTGATACGCGACAACAGCGGTACAAAATAATTATGAGAATGTCATGACCTATTTGTTTGAATTGAAATTAATCTTCGTTGGGCTATATATTTAAATAGTTTATAAAGGCGTTATTTATTAATAAAATTGTGTTTAATCAACAAATTAAGACTCTATGGAAATATTTTGTATGTATAAACTATAAACATTGGTGTAATGGTTGCAGCTCCTTACAAACATTGTTTAAAACAAGAAACTTGACGATTAAAATAGTGGCGGAGAGTTTATTGACAGTTCTTCTCTTCTGTTCCACGCCCTTGATTTGAGAACTGGCAGTAAATGAAAAATTAGAAGGTTTCATATATATATTTTTTTGACGTTCATAAGTGTACATTGTGTTACCTATAATATGAATAAATGATTTTGATTTTTTTTTAATTTTTAGATTTATTTCAATATTTTTATTTAATTTAGGCAATCAATTTGCTTCAGGAACCAAATTTTTTAAATCGGTTAAGAATATTGTAAGTACTTGTATGTGTTGGAAATAATTCGACTCGATATCTGAATTATGTACCAATGAACCTGGTACATTCGCCAGATTATATACTTGTAACTTACATTTTTTTTATTTTTTCCCTTTGGAGTACCTACTTACGGCCGTAGGGTTCACGTGCACAGCTTATTAGAGATTTAAGTTGTCGCTTGTAGTAGCGGTGACCCTAGAGCTGGTGCTCTCAATGAATAAGTATCGCAATACAGCGAGGAAATGCCATCATTAAAGGTACACTGCCACAGGGACTTTTTAATTTTGTATACATTTGGGTTATAAAAAAACTGAAGTCAAAATCCCACCAAAATGTCTGTCATGCAAGAATTTGGTTACTAAGAAAATCCACCTATATTTATTAAGAATCCAGATGTCCAAGATTGGTAGACTTTTTACCACCAGACAGGACGCTATATATCATCAGCAAATAACACGCTGGCTCCAGATCTCACGATTCCCGGGTACGCTGTTAAAAATCCCTGGGAAACAGCCCAATTTTACCCCCGCCTACCCAAATGTATTTAGAATCACAATTTATTGAATACCTGATCGTTCTGCTCATGAGTCAGATAAAGCCAGCCAAGCAAGGCCTGAGGGCATCCTTCTGTCTTCCCACACCACTGAGGCAAGTCGCCCATGGCAGTCGGTGACATCGCTTCATTTATATCGTTAAAACACAGCACAAAATTTGGTATAACACGCGGTGGCCGGGCGAGTGTATTTTTGGATCGCGTTAAAGCGGGTGCGCGCGCGCCGCACGTCGCCGACTAGAGTTCTGCCGCTCCTTGAGACGGGAGATGGGATAGGGACGTGCTATTTATCGATTCAGCTATACTCTATACAAGAGATTCTTGTCAAACAAACGGGGATAATTAAATACATATGTTATTTACAGTAAATAAACAAAGCTTAGTAGATATACTATATATATAAGAATGCAGTACATGTTATTTTAATAGATAAATTATTTAATAAACTGTACGTGAATGAACAGTTTGCCCTAGTGGCTTCACCGTGCGACTCTCATCCCTGAGGACGTTGGAACCCCGGCTGTGGACTAATAGACTTTCTGTCCATGTGCGCATTTAACATTCGCTCGAACAGTGAAGGAAACATCGTGAGAGAATCGGATTTTAGACACAAACGGTGTGTGTCAGGCACAGGACGCTGATCACCTACTTGCCTATTTGATTGGTCATGAAACAGATACAGAAATCTGAGGCCTAGACCTAAAAAGGTTGTAGAACTGGTTTTTTTATCAATTCTTTTCAACAATTATTTAGTGATTTAAGAAACTTACCATTGTACCCATATCCTCTATGTTTTTTGTTCCTGGTGGTTGTGTATTGAATCTTTTCATTTTTGGATTATGATAAAAGTATCGATATAGTAATCGCGCGCTTCACTAGAAAACATGTGGGCGCACCCAATGACCAACAGGGACTACTTGGAGCAATATTTTCGTGGCCCCCCTACCATGAAACAATACGTTTTAGCTATCGCTTTAAAGCAACATAAGATCTTGGCCATTGTAAAGGATTTTCCCCTATGTATAAAGATATACTATATATATAAGCCAAAGCATATACTATAATGTATCTTTTATATATTCGATGTCAATGAATGTTTCTTGGTAAGTTCAGCCATTGACGCTATAAAATAGAGTTACGATATTATTTGGTCATAATTTTACCACGGAGTGAGGAAATATTTGAAGAAGCGGGAAGACTTTGACTCTGTTTAATAATAATAAAAGCTTTATTCATGACAAAGGTTGTGGGACTAGGGAGTCCCTGTGTTGTGGGTTACAATTTCCTTTTTTTTACTATTAAGTATTAATTGTCGCTATTAAATGAGATATGTGCTAGAAATAACTCAATACAACTATGTACCAAGGAATGCTAGTAAATTAAAATGTTATTAAAATATGTGCGCGTAAGCATTCTAGATAGAAACGAGAGAATGCTCAACTGTTTATTTCGTGTTCTAAGAAGTGTTATCGTGTTTATCATAGTTTTAATTCTCATTATGAATTACAATCACTACGAACTCAGCATCATGAATCAAAATAACCTTCTTGATCCGAAAAAATATAATATTCTGCTGAAGGGTTTAACAATACAATAGATTTCATCGGCGGAGTTTTATATTAAAACCGTATAGAACTGTCCCAAAAACAGTGGCGCTACAACTGTTTTAGGTCTGGGCATCATTTTTGTTTCTGTTTTATGATCATTCGTCAATCTAATAGGCAAGTAGGTGATCAGCCTCCTGTGCCTGACACACGCCGTGTACTTTTGGGTCTAAAAGCCGCTTCCTCACGATTTTTTCACCGATCGAGCGAATGTTTAATGCGCACATAGAGAGTCCATGGGTGCATAGCCAGCGACTGAACCTACGACCTCAGGGATAAGGGTTGCTGAAGCCATTAAGCCAACACTGCTGATAAAAACTGTTCTTACTCCTACATTGTAGTTTACATTATACACAAAATATTTATGAAGTAGAATTATATTGCTGCAATGTACTATTATTTTTTAAAAGTGTAAACAAAATATTGATCCTTTTCCTAGTGATCAAATGAAAAAGCAAAGTCTCTACACCGTTTATTGTTATTTTTAAAGATGTCGACACGCCCACAATCTTATACAGAAAAGAAATTAAAAATAAACATTTTCTCCCACAAAATATCAAGTCGACTTTCCGGATAAAGTGTTTTAAAAATTGTTAGTTCTCTAATTTATACAGTAATTTACATATTAGAACATAGAAATTATATCATTTAGAACCAAAAAAACACATTACACACAACATATAGAGAAAATAACAGTTTAAGGGCAAATAGCAGACCGCAACTCATGGAGAATTATTCAGTCAATGGATGAAGATGCATACGCTTTTTGTCTAAATACGTTCATTATAAACAATTTTTATTTCACAACAACGTTTAATAAAGTCAATTGATGCGTTGGTCCCTATTTAATTGAAAGCAATGAGCCGCGTTCAACACAATAACCCAACCGAAATGAGAAGTTCCTAATTCCATGCCATTGCTTACTTTCTGGTATTCTCTTCATTTGGCCGGGTTATACGATGAATAGACGCTTTCTAATAGATGATGACGTGTATGGAACGTGATTTTAACATCACTTAAGCTGTTTGTAAGTACTTTGTGTCATACAAAATTTTTCCACTCTCATCTCTGAAGTCTTACGACTTCGATTCCTGGCTGTGCAGCAATGCACTTTCTTTCTATTTAACATTCGCTCGAACGGTGAAGGAAAACATCGTGAGGAAACCGGCTTGCCTTAGACCCAAACAGTCGACGACGTCAGGCACAGGAGACTGATCACCTACGTACGTATAGACAAATTATCATGAAATAGATACAGAAGTCTGAGGCCCAACTCCCAAGCCTAAAAAGGTTGTAGCGCCACTGATTTATTCATTTCGTTTTTATATTGTTAAAAAAAGGTTAATCTTCTGTATCGGCCATAATTCACCACCCAAAAGAGTTGGGATACACTTGGTGATGAGGTGTAAGTCAATCTTCTTTGACGGCACCTGTAAGTTGTAACTAGATTTAAGTGTAGAACCTATGCCATTGTGGTTTTCTTATATATATATACGTATATATATATAAAAATAAGAAAACCGCATGCCACTATGTGAAACCAGCGGCACATTCAAGAATAGAGCGTACCAATTCCTAAAAGGCCAGCAACGCACTTGCGAGCCCTCTGGCATTGTGAGTGTCCATGGGCGGTGGTATCACTTATCATCAGGTGAGCCTCCAGCACGTTTGCACTTTGGATCCATCCAGTCATCCGAGGCTTACACGCAGGTCATGTTGAAACTTGTAGGCTTTTACCTCTAAATGCACAATTACCAATGCATTTAATATTACGGAAATATATCCCCCTGGAGTTGGAGTCTATAAATTGATTGCTATTTATAATCTGTGACTAAACACTGCGCGGAAAAGGAAATACTACTCTTACCGACTTTGTGTTGCCATTACCCTTTTAGGTTAGAAATTTTCATTCATATTTCATTTATTCCATAATAAACATATTTTATTTTTATTTTATGAACCAGATAACCTGGAAGTTGATTCTAGTCGATAAAGTGGAAGGCTAAAGGCCTCCACAAAAAGGGCAAAACGCCAACCCCCTGATAATATGACCAAGTCACGATACTCACGGGTCTCCCCATAACAGCTGCTCTAAGGAAAGGTACAGACTGAAAAAAAGTGGAGAGTTATCACTAGCAGAGTATGAGGAACCTTACAGTGACACGACCTTCAACAATGAAGAATACGCTAATGAGCTAACGTAAATATCGCATTTAAAAGGGATTTAGCAAAAGTGCTTTCGTCTACAAAGCTCGCTCTAAGTTTTAGTTAAACCCAAACAGATGCTGCAAATAAAAAATCACTTTTGTCTTAACTTAAACATTTGGTTACCCGCGGGTGACACTATTGTTCAATTTAGAATACTTAAGATTTGTACCTGCTCATTTGGGCAATGGTTATCGCACTTGTTGTGATCATATTTTTGACTTTGGTTTTATTTTATTGAAATCAATTGTGATTCCTACAATTCAAACTAATAATAAATAGTAAAATCAATTGTAATTCCTACAATTTAAAGTAAACATTAATAGTAATATCAATTGTAATTCCTAATTTCGACTATTATTATAAAATCTCTTTTATAATATTGCTGGTGTGAAATAAAAAATCAATGTCATTGAATAGTTTAAAACATGACAGTTACTACGAAACAGTTCACGATTTTTGTACGCGTGTAATTTTGTAAAAAAAAAAGCGAAAAAGTGTTTCATATAGTGTAATAATTTTTTGAAGAAAGGATATTATAAATTTTTGGATACGTTTAAAGGTATGTTAGCAAAATTATTCCATAGATTTTACGAGTGTTAAAGAAACCTCTTCGGTGTTTACAAGGAGGTTGAGGCAGATAACGAAATTCCAATTGTATCACCTCGAACTCTACATATGAGCGTTTTTAAGGCACTATGCCACGTACCACCACTGTATGGAACTAGCTGTCCATAGTATTTCCGAACCAATTCAGCCATTCAAGAAGAGAGCGTACCAATTCTTTAACTCTTTCTTTCTTAGCACTTGCGAGCTCTTGCAGTGTTAGCGCCTGCGGCCTTAACATGCAATGAGCTTACTGCCCGTTTTCCCTCTGTTGTATAAAAAAAATTATAAAATACAAAATATTTCTTAAATTTTTTATTATCAATAAGTCAGTATTATTACACCTTTGAAAGTACTCTTACGTCTCTTCCTTCTTTCGCTTTCTTTCTTTTAATGAAAAGAGACATATGACTTAGCTAAAACTCTGCAATTGTATTGACTTATTTCTTATGAATAATCTACAAATTTAATATAAAATTTCGGTATGTTTTATTCTAGTAACAAAATCTAAATCAATATATATATCATGCATTTTAAATAAATATCCTATGGAAATCAAATGCTATTAGAATATATATCAAATAGCGGTCCCGAGAGACGTTGTCCTGCATGATATTTCAAGCGATTAGGATATTAAATAAAGTATGAAAGTACCGACTGCAGCGCCATCTGCCGTGCTGATTTGTAATCCAGGGCGCCACCCAAAAG